ATTTTGGGGATATTTAGTGAGTAAAGCTGTTTTATTTTCCCAGGTAACTGTCAGTAAGCACATTTACTAGATGCAATTTTATGTTATCCTGTTCCTAAATGTCTTCAACTAATGGTAAGCAAAGGACTTTACTCTCTTGTTTCAGTGTACTGTGTTACTGATAAGAGTACCCCAAACCACAGCCTTGAAGGTATCTCCCATACCAGTCCTGGAGTATGAAGACCAGTGTCATTAAATGCCAAAGGCCACTGGGATTTCCTTAAGCAAGCTTTGTTGAACCAAACAGTTCCGCTGTTAGGAAATTTGAACCTGCCAGCATATGGGCAGCCAATGCACCCCCATCAATTAAGCCACGGGATTGTGTTTACCTGCTATATTCAGTTATGTGCATACACTTCAAAATTTGAGAGCAGCAGAATCTGAATACCATGGGTACTTATACCTTCCACTTCAGAGCCAGAAGATGCAATTAATTGGTCTCTAATGGTCTGGGAACAACATGGCATTTATTCACTGCAATCTTCCTTTGGCAAATGATTTTAAATATTATTCCTGGCCTAAGTGGAGGTGGAACGTCTGAAGCATCTGTTTTTAGGTAAACCTTTTCCAGGTCTTCAACAGTCTCCATGTTTGAACTTAAGAAATTTGTGGTGGCTGAAGTATTTTTGCCTCAAACAAATTTCTCCTGCAACCACTTACAGTAATTGGGCCAGAATGCTTTGTGTCCGATGTGGTGCCTGGATTCTCAATATTTACATGTTTATTTTTCAGTTGGTTCTTTGGGGAATCGATTTCACCCCCCAGAAATAGGAGGTTTCAATAAGAAAAGAGGATCTTTTGTTCTGTTATGAATAACAAAATAGCTTGATCTTTGTCTCTCATGAATGAAAGACATTACTACTTTGAAGGGAAATGGCAGATCTTAGCTTGGAAAGAATTTCATTCCCATCCCTAACATAGGGCTGCCATATTTCAAAAATCAAGACTCAAAAACCGCCACCGAGCCCAAACAGCCCAAGCCAGAGAGTTTAAAGACATCACTCACAATTGCATTTCTTGTTTTATGCTGAGGTAGGACAACTCACTCTGAGGAAAAAAAATCACACTATGGAGAATGACTCAGGTCCCATATATCTGAAAGACCACCTCCTTCCCCACAGACCCTCTTGGGTACTGAGATCGGCACAGGGGACCCTCGTGCAGTTAGTTCCTCTGCCCTCAGAGGCTCGAGGAGGGTGACAGGACAGGGCATTCCCTGTGGTGGCCCCCAAGTTGTAGAACTACCTTCCACAGAAGTGTGTCTGGCACCTTCATTATACAGCTTCTGAAGAATGCTGGACACACATTTCCCCCTGGCTTTTGACAATTGAAGTGTACGTTTTTATGATTGTAAGCTGTTTTTAATAGTGTGTTTTAATTCTGTAACCTGCCCTAGAACCTAAAGGTAAAGGAAACAAACAAACAAACACCAGGATGCATGGTCTCTATATCCTTTAGAATATACTTCAAAAATCTCTTCATAATCAAATGATATTTGCCTATTCAGTAAATTTTCTTACACAGTATTTAAAATTCAAATCAGCTATGAAACCTACTCTGAATAATTTTTGATATCAAAACTTAAAAATTTCAACAATGCCATTATATCCCATAAACCTTACCTCCATCAGGCATATCACCCAGTCTATGTGCATAAGGATCATTCAGAAGATTATTAGCAGCAGGCGACCTCTGTATTAATTCTGGTTCATACTCAAATGAAGGATTAACTAATGAAGAAAAAAGAAAAGTGCAGAAGCAGGTTGCATCTCTTCTTGTAGTCCACACACACACACACACACACACATCCAGGGGGAAAGCTAGGACCCTGTAGCATTAGTTTTCTCTGTGTCTAGGGATGTTGTACATTTTTACATGGAAGAGCATTCAATCACCTATATGCCCCGCCTCCACTCTGACACAGTACAGCCCAAACCCAAGTGACAGCCAGGGCACAACCAAATTCACAAGCTGTTTGCGCACGCACACACAGGCCCACCTTTTCCAATTTCACAAAAAATAAAATTGCATATTGTAAAGAGTATGGGTTGCTCGTGCGTAAGTTGCCGCCTCTCCTGGCTTTGTTGCCTTGTTAAACCTTTCAGTCTGGACAGCCCTTCACTTCGTGGCTGCCTCAGTCGCTAGCAGAATCCGTCAGTGGGCGTTTCTTAAACCTTTTCCAACATAAAAGTTGTTTGACACCCAGTCTCCTCCTACTCTCTCTGTGCGGAAGTCTTCTGCGCAGGGAGGGCGTGGGTAGCGGAGGACCCGTGCTCTCCCCGCTGGTGTCCAGTGAAGAGTCTGGGAGCCCTCTCGCCGATTCCCCCATCTGCCCCTCTTTATTCCTGGTGTTGCGCTGAATTGCTTCCCCATCTGCTGAGCTGCCTCTCTCCCTGCTGGGCCCTTCTCCAGCATCATTTGAGAGCGTTCCCTCCGCCTCTAGCTCCGATGTCAGTTCCCTGACACATATATTCGGAGATTTTACCCCAGTTTTTCCATCATGTGTCCTTGGGCGGGGGGGGGGGAGCTTAGAATTCTGCCGAAGCCAAAATAGTAACTCACAGCCAGGCATCCCTAGTCCCACCAGCAGCTGTGCAGATACTTACATAATCAAAGTATTAGATATATTACAGTATTCCCTGCATTTCTGACACACAAGTTTTAGAGGGCTGTTGTCATTTAGCCCAAAATTGCACCAGCCACACATGGATGAAATTTCAACAGGCTTCAAGGATTTTGCACAAATAAATCCTAAATTTGATGTGGAGGAAGACACTCAAAACAGTTCAGTATGCACTGAATGCCTACAAAAGGCTGACTGTTTTTGGAGGGATGGAGAACTAGGAAAAATGTATGATGGAAAGGAGCGGCTGGGGTCTTAAAACATCAACACTTCATGTGGAATCCTTTTCTTGCGGTTCGCACTTGCATTTTCCCATTATAGTAACCTCAAAATGTTCTGCATTATTCCGTTACAACTTGCATACATAAAATGCAATGGCATACCATGAGAGTTTCCATATGGATTTGCACTGGACATCTCAGGCACAAAATCTGTCCGTCTGTATTCATCATCATCAGATGGAGTCTGCATCGAACTCATAGGCATCAGCACAAACGAGCTCCGTCCTCGTTCTTCCGCGTTGTCGTAATCAACATCGGATTCGTAGGGAGAGGCGCCGTAAGGATTAAAACGAAAAGAAGTGCTCCTCTGAGAAGGTCTTCTGTGTGAGAAATAAAGAGAGCGGAGAAGTAAGCAGCTACCAGGAAGGAAATGAAATATGGGGATTGCTTAGAAAGGCCTAAAAATGTCAGAAGAGCCCTGATGGAAACCAACTGTAGGTCTGAAAAGCTAACCACCCTCTCACTATCTCGTTATGAAAGGGGGTGTGCGTTTGTAGGGGCAATGATTCAAAGGCTTCATGATTAGACGCAGTTCTCAAGGGCGCCATTTGCCCATGGGCGCCACACTGGTGGCCCCAGGACTATCTAGTTCAACTTCCTGTATCTCACAATGGCTATTCAGATACCTCTGGAACATCAACTAGGTAAGGTAAAGGGACCCCTGACCATTAGGTCCAGTCGTGACCGACTCTGGGGTTGCGGCGCTCATCTCGCTTTATTGGCCGAGGGATCCGGCGTACAGCTTCCGGGTCATGTGGCCAGCATGACTAAGCCACTTCTGGCGAACCAGAGCAGCGCACGGAAATGCCGTTTACCTTCCCGCCGGAGTGGTACCTATTTATCTACTTGCACTTTGACGTGCTTTCGAACTGCTAGGTTGGCAGGAGCAGGGACCAAGCAACGGGAGCTCACCCCGTTGCAGGGATTCGAACCGCCGACCTTCTGATCAGCAAGTCCTAGGCTCTGTGGTTTAACCCACAGCGCCACCTGCGTCCCTGGAACGTCAACTAGCAGGACACAAATTCTCCTCCTCACAATCTCCAGCAAGTGGTAGTGCGAGGCATGCCCTCTCTGATCTTAGAGGTAGCATATAGCCCTCATGACTAGTTGCCACTGATAGCCTTTTCCCTCCATATAACCACCTAAGAGTAGCCATCTTTGAGCATGACCTGAAAAAGGCTTGGGGAACCTTTGGCCCCCAGCTAGCAAGGTCAATGGTGATGGCTGATGGGATTCGAGTCCAATAACATCTGGAGGGCCAAAAGTTCCTTAGCTCTTTTAATGAAAATGTGAATCTAATTTTGAATGTGTGTTGCATACGTAAAATGTTGGTGTCTGTGACACTAGTGATATTGTGTTTTCTGTGCAATTAGTAGAGGTCTCCTCTCAGAGACCAGAAATGCATATCCTAATAAGTCTGAAATGCAGTGGCAATACATGCTCCAATTGGCTGTGTAGTTGTGAAGTTGTTTTCCTCTGTATGTTTGGTTCAAGATTTCCCTGCTATGTAGAAGGCTGGAACTACAAAAGAAAAGCTCTCTGGTCCTCTCTCCTCAAATTATATACTGTTTTCGTTCATTTTTCTCAGTGAGGTATTATTATCTGGATTTCTTTTCTCTTTGGATTCTGCCTGTGTTACAAAAGTAACTTTGGTACCCATGAGGACTAAACATTCAGTAACAGAATGCTGCCAATCAGGAAACGAAAACAGAAGTCTGAGGAAATGAAATGGCTTACTGGAGAAGGGTGTGTTTTGCTGGCACCCTGAACAAAAATACTTTTACTTGTAATAAATAATCTAGATATCAATGCACAGAATGAGTAGCTAGGTTTATTCTAGGAACATGCATCATTATTTGCTTTGTTAATTCAACAATAGCAACAGCTTAGTCTTTTATATGCTATATTTCAGACTTACGTTCTGTCAATCTCTAGCGTTTCAGAGTGGTGATAGTCTGGGTTTTCAAAGGCTTCATTATTGTAGTGGAAAGACATGATGCATCCAAATCTTTGCCTTTGTATGAAAGATGTTTAGAAATCAACTTGGTGGACTGTTTTCAGTTTTTTATTGGGCGAAGTTTCATCCCGAATCTATTTTAAAAGAAATTAAATTAAAATACGTTCCAGCCAATCTTTCACACTCACACCCTCTTGTTTAACTCTTTAACTTTATCTCTCTCTCAATCTCTCCCCCCCCCCCCCACAGAGTTTTCTCAGTTAAAAATCACATACCTTCTCAGAAGTCCTATGAGGAGTTGAACTGGGCATGTTTTACTTTGCTAGTGGGCTCCAGGTCCCCTATCCCTAACGTAAGAGTTACACAGAGCGATCACAACTAGTAGCCACTGATACCCTTGTCCTCTTTGAGTTTCTTTCCTTTCCTTTTAAAGCCATCAAACTCAGAAGCCAGCATGTCTTCTTCTAACAATGAATGTCACAAATGCATAGGGTTATACCCAGTGTTAGCCTGACTCAATGTGCTATAATTCATGGACATTACTTACTGCGGTCCATGAATTTCAGTGGCTATACTCTGTGTTGGATAAAACCCACTAAAGACTGTGTGAAAGATAGCTCCATTCATCCACCCCGAATCTACCCGAATTCAACTCATTGGGTGTCCTTGAGCTGTAGAATTTTGGGATGATGGTGGCGGGAAACCACAACAGTATGTTATATGCTGAATACTACATTCCGGTGTGGATATACTACATCAATGAACCATGGTTATGAGATTGGGAACAGGTGAAGGGATTGCATACTTTCTCATGAGAATCCAGACCCTCCAAGTGTCCCTATATTCCAGGGACAGTCTCATATTTACAGAAGCCATCTCAGTTTCTGATTTAATCCTGCTTTTCCTTATATGTCCCTATTTTCATCAGAGAAATGTTGAAGGGTATGGAGTTATGTAACCCACAAGCCAAGGAGATAAGTAACTAGACAACCTTTAGAAGACATCTGAAGACAGCCCTGTATAGGGAAGTTTTAAAAACAAATGTTTAATGGTTTCTTACGTTTTTATGTATGTCAGAAGCCGCCCAGAATGGCTGGGGCAATCCAGTCAGATGGGTGGGGTACAAAGAATAAAATTATTATTATTATCACTACTGTGGAATGGGACACCCCTATTTTCACTGGAGAAACATTGGAGAGTATGTCTCACCCAGCTTAACTAAAGATCAAATTACATCAGCACTAACATTAACTGTGGTTAAGTGCTGATAACAGAGCCTGAAATCTCAGTTTTAAACTTTGGGTTAAGGATTACGGTCTTTATTTTTATGCTAATACTTTGGTTTATGAACTGGTTGAATTGTGGATTGTTTTGTATTTTTATTGTTGCCCCCCACCCTCATTTTTTTCTTACAAAACTTAAAAACGTATCTTTCAGTCTGGGGACAAATTCCGTTGATACATGTCTGTCTACAGCACTGGGCCTCAATAGGAAAGCCACAGTTTTTTCTTCTAAACTGTGTTTTTGTCTTCAGGTTAGGATTAACCTGTTCTGGCCTTTTTATGTTATTCCTATGAGATGACATGTTTAAGCTTGCCAAAAAACCAAACACAAATCCCATCTTCAAATATCCACTACGTCACTTAGAAACCACAAGGAAATACTGGGTGCTAAAAGAGTTAGCATACCTTTGGCATTTGTTCAGCGAGACCAGGAAAGGTAGAAATGCTTTCATGGTCCTCAAGACAAAGGTCAGCCATTTTACTTGAACATAAGCAGCCTACCCTCTCTATCGGGTCATCAGGAACTTGCTGTCAGCAAAGGTTCCAGGTGGCAATATAAAACATGGCAAATAAGTTAATACATTCTTTCACTCGGACTTTGATACCAACACGATACCAACACCATCAGCAAAACTCTTTTTCTTCCCAGAATCCTGAAGGAAAGTGTTTATGCTTCTACAAAACTAATTTGTGTAATACAGAAAGGAATAGTTTTTCTCTCTCTCACACACACACAGCCTTGATTCTGCTCTCTCCAGCTACTTTTTTTTTAAAAAAATTAATATAAATTTTATTTTCAATGCAACATTACAACAAAAATTACAAACATTGAATCCAAAATAAAACTATACAAACAAGAAAGAAAAACAAAACACAAAAAGGAAAAAAGAGAAAAAAAGAAAAAAGGGGGGAGCACACATCTACAAATAAAACCGTATCTTCATTCTAGTCTAGTCATTCATTGAATTTGACATGTCTGTGTGTGTGTGTGTGTGTGTGTGTGTGTGTGTGTACGTTTGGAAAAAAAAGAAAGTAGCTGGTCATATGTATGTAGCAGCTACTTTCTTTTTCTTTCAAACGTACACACACACACAAACATGTCAAATTCAATCATATAGTTAAATAAAGTGTGTCATTTTGCCCTCAGTCGGTATGCCACCTTAGCACATCATGCTATTATTAAGTGATTTAATCACCAAGGTCAAAACAAACAGGACAAGCTCCAGGATCAAGGAGTCCCTTTGCAATGTTCCCTCCCCTCCTATATATCCTGCCTGCCCCATGCATTTGAAGAAGTATCACACCACCTTAAAGAGCCACCGCTCCCCCCCCCCAAAAAAAAATCCTAGGAGCTACAGTTTGCTAAAGGTGATGAGAATTGTTGGGAGAGACCCCATTGTCACCCTACAGTGACAATTCCCAGAGTTCTATGGGAAGCTCTGTGAGAGAAAGAAGGGCAATGGCCGCACCAGAAAAGAAATGGGGGGGGGGCACAGAAGGGGCAAGGTATATTTCTCTGGACTCATTTAAGGTCGTTCTTCCTTGTCCCTGCTATAGACTTGTAGCTTCACTGGCTCTGGGTATTTATTTATTTATTTTAGCTCATTCACTTTATTGCTTTCAGGATGTTCTCAACCAACTTGAGCAGTGAGAAACTGCAACCTCAAAGTAATAGCCTGAGCCATCAGAATCAACGAAGAGTGAGGCTCTTTTGCTTCTCAGGTTACATTGAACTGAATACTGTACTGTGTTTGCTACCAGTTCCAGGTTATAATTTAATGAGATGTATCGCTTTCAAGAACTTCACCGACCAAGTTCATTTGGAGCAGGAAGGAGAGGAAATTAAAATATATGGAATCTTTGTTTGCTTTTAAAGAACACAGCAATTGCATTAGCAATCTCTGCAACCATGATATCTTTTTAGAAAACTATTTCCCATTAAGATAGATCAGGAAGGCTGAACCACAGGCTGCCTTCTCTCTTTGGTCGTTTGGACTCTCTCCACGCTACACATCTTCCCCAGTCACACCAAGGTGTGCAAAAAATAGCCTAAGTTTACATCCATTGCCCACCCACTTTTGACTGCCTTCTTCCACACAACTGCACCCCCACCACCACGTGCCCACCCCCCTCCCAGAAATTGATTTGGCCCTCAGCAAACAGGCAGGCTGCATATATTCGAAGCACATTTCCCCCCCTCCAAAAATTCTGGTTGCTGTAGTCTACCCCTCATAGAGTTACAATTCCCAGCAACACTTAACAAACTACATTGCCCAGAATTCCTAGAGGTGGGAAATGTGCTTTAAAGATATATCATATACACAGCGAGAGATAGAGATATTAGTAACCACACCTTGATTTACAGAGAAATATGCTTTTTCTCCACAGACTACCTTCTAGGTTTCTGCTACTATGGGGCAAATAAAAATGTTCCACTAACGCTAAAGAAGTATCCTGAATTTGGCAAGTAGTGCAGAGCCAAGGGGTGCTGTTTTCAGAAGGACGGTTGTGAAATAATATGGTTCACAGCCTTTATCATGTTCTTCCCCATAAAAATACAGTTAAGGTAGGCTTCTAGATGGAAGGAAAACTGAGGCTGAAAGTTAATCCTCATAGAAGTACAGAGCCAGCCCTTCCACTGGGCACCATAAGACATCTTCCGAAGTTTCTAAGTGGGTAGGTTGGCAGCCAGGTGTGGAAACTGCCCATAAGGTAAGGAGAGCTCACCTGAGTTCAGATCCTGTTCTGTGCACCTTGATTCCTGAGAGCATGATGCTCATGCTGATTAGAGCAGACATGTGGTGGGAGCCAGGCTTTCCAAGGGCTCCCCACAACCTTCGGAGCAGTCTTTATCCCAATCTACAAGCCCATCCACTTGAGCTAGCTACCATGAATAGCAGCCAGCTCATATCCCCACTGTACATTTAAAGCACTTTTAAAGCATATGGCTTCCACCCAAAAAGGAATTATGGGAACTGGAGTTCACCCCTCATAGAGACGCAATACCCAGCACCCTTAGCAAACTACAGTTGCCAGGATTCTTTGGGGGAAGTCATGTTCTTTAAATCTGCTTTAAACAGTGAGAAGATTATGGTTGTGGGGATCCTGCTGGGGGTGGGCTTAGGCAGATGCCTGAATTTCCCATCTCCCAAGGCTGGAGGTCCAAGCTGAATGCAGCAGACAAAGTTAAAGTTGCAATTTGCAATCCTGTACCCCAGGTACAGGGAAGTTTTTCTTCAGCCTGAGAGCCACATTCCCTCATGAGCATCTTTCTTGGGGTCACACTGAAGTGGTGGGTGTGGTCAGAGACAAAATATAGATGGAGGAAGATGGAAAAGTAAGTGGAGCAACAGATGTGACTCTTACATTAAGGTAAAAGGTAAAGGACGCCTGGACGGTTAAGTCCAGTCAAAGGCGACTATGGGGTTGCGGTGCTCATCTCGCTTTCAGGCTGAGGGAGCTGACGTTTGTCCACAGACAGTTTTCCAGGTCATGTAGCCAGCATGACTAAACCACTACTGGCGTACAGATGACCGTGACGAGTGCCAGAGCACACGGAAACGTTTACCTTCCTGCCGCAGCGGTATCTATTTATCTACTTGCACTGGCGTGCTTTCGAACTGCTAGGTTGGCAGGAGCTGGGACATAGCAACGGGAGCTCACCCCCTTGTGGGGATTCGAACCGCCGACCTTCCAATCAGCAAACCCAAGAGACTCAGTGGTTTAGACCACAGCGCCACCCACGTCCCTATACTCTTACATTAGGCCTCATCTGCACTATACATTTAAAGCAGTATCACTCCACTTTAAACAGTCATAGGTTCCCCCAAATAATCCTGGGAACTGCAATTTGTTAAGGCTGCTGAGAGTTGTTAGGAGACTCCTATTCCCCACCCAGAGCTACAATTCCCAGAATTCCCTTGGCAGAGGGTTATACTGTTAAACCGTTCTGGGAATTGTAGCTCCTGACAACTTTCATCACCCTCAACAAACTAGTTTTTAGGATTATTTGGGAGAAGCCATGACTATTTAAAGTGGTACAATACTGCTTTAAATATATAGTGCAGGTGGGGCCTCTGTACAGAAGGCCAAATTCCAGTGACACAAAATCTAGACTATAACACACATCTGTATCCTCCATCCAAAGGAGGATGTGTCACAATTTGATGACACATTTCAATCAGGCACTTCTGAAGGAGACAGGACATGTGCTGCTAAGTACCGGTATATTAAAATCCTATCGATTTCTACAAGGACTAGACATACTTTATTTGCCTTGGGGCACCACCTGTTAACATAAGCATTGCAGTTAACTGATAAGGAAGAATAACATATTACATAAAACTCCTTCTACCATAAAGCAAGCACTAAGTTTACATGTGCAAGCACTTGTGTTTATATATGCAGTTTTGAATTTCTTCAGCTGCAACCAAATTTTAAGATTTTATAAGACTGAGAAAATAAATTGGAACCTGTTTTTTTTTAAGTTACCTGTCCATCAGCAAGGATAACAGCTACACTATTTTATTTTATTTCACAACACTTATACACTGCTTTATTTTAATAAAAGCTCTAAGTGGTTTTATTATCCTATCCCGCTCTTTTCAAAGACCTTGGCATACTTATAGCTGTTGACACTAATGTTTGCTAATCAGCCTTGCTGAAAATTCCCACCCCCATCAGATCATTATGTTGTTGTTCACTTCCTTATTGACTAAATGTCCAAAGGTGGATTATAAAAATTACACAGATCCTTTGGGAGCAAAAAGGAAGTTCAGAATTTTTCTTTAAAGCAGGAAGAGTTTTCTATTACAAACCACTTTAACAAACACTCATCAAACTCAATAGGGCCAACTTCCCAAAAATACATCTAGGATGGGAACGTTAAAGTTAAATACATCTTTCAAAAATCTAACCAGTCACTGTGTTCTTTCTGTACTTCCTAATTGATAGCTTCGTTATCCCAAACACACACACAAAATACTACAAAATACGTACAGTACACAAACACACACAAGAGGGGGTGTCCTCAGGGGGGAAAAATGGAGGAAGGAGAAAGTATAACACCAAAAGTGTGAAGCAGGCTAGTTTCTCAGTAAGAATAATGCTTGTAACAGTTTGCATCAGATCTCGGGTTGTACAAAAGCTAGAAACTTAATCCTTTTCTCTATTTTGTTTTAATGAAACCTGGGAATCTGGGGGGTTAGGGTTTTCCAGAGGAAGCAACAGTCTCCATTTCCCACCTCTGTGGACACCTATATTTTTATCTGTATAATGTGTTTGAGTGTGTTTAAGGTCTCTAGGTCTCTTTGTATTTCGGCGCTAGCACTGGTACAAAGTCAGCCCTTTACATGAAGACCCTGGCAATGAGAGAGGTGCAAGAGTAAGGAAGCTCTGCGTGGGTGTCCTGACGATTTTTTAAAAACTACAAAGTGATAGCAGACAGGTGAGAGCAGGCTAGTTTCTCAGCAAAAGGTAAAAAAGAAAGAATGCTGCCTGCACATTTATTCTCGTAACTCAGACTCTACAAATGCTAGAAAAGTAAGCTTTTTGAAAACAGAAAGCTGAGTATTTGGGGAGGGAGCCCCCTCGCCCACACCCCCTGCGGATGCCCATGGAGCCGTGGGAAGCGCCAGGAAGGGAAAGAGGTTCTCTTGTAAGACCACCCACGCGGTATAAACAAGGGGGGAGAGAAACAAGTCCTGAAACAGACAAGGAAGTAGTAATGATGTCGTGGCTTTTTACCTCTTGGAAGGAGCCGGCTCTCCTCTCCACTCAGGGATGCAGCAGCCGGCTAGTGGATCCGGCCAGCAGCGGGAAGGTTTTGCTGGAATGTTGCAAGCTCCGCTCAAGTCATCATTCTGGTCCTCTTCTGCTTTCTCAGGAAGTGGCTGGCAGAGAATCCCAGGCGGGTGGGGGGGCGGGTGGAGAGAGGCAAGGGTTCCGCCCCCGGCAGATCAGCAGGTGCCGACACCTTAAGGTGCCCTCGTCCCCAGCAGCAACCCACCCACTGCCCCGCAAAGGCACAGTCGCAACACACAAAGGTGGTGCGTTAAAGGAACGTCTCCTCCGGGCAGCTGAGGTTACAGCAGCTCTGGGGGACCCCTCGAAGCTGAGCTGAAGGTTTGCTAGCAGTAATTGCAACGAAAGTCCACCCACCCCCCCGTGCTTTGCCTGATGCTTAACCTGTTGCATGTTTTCACTGGCGTGTTCACATTTCCGCATAACTATACGCATTCATTCTTTGTCCGAGGTCTGTGCTATTCAACGTGAGTAGGCAATATAAAACCACAGGAGACACAGAGAAACGTTGCTGTGTTGCGTCGATACTGTACTATGTACTTGTACTATGTACACGCCAGCGCCTCAGTGGGTGGTCGAAAAACTCACCTAAGAAGAGCCCTGCTGGATCAGGCCCAATGGTCCGTCTAGGGAAGTATCCTGTTCCACACATGCTCACGAGAAGCCCATATGCAGGACCTGAGCAGAAAAGCTCTCTCCCCTCTTGTGATTCACAGCAACCAGTATTCAGAGGTGTACTGCTTGGAGGCAGAACATAGCCATTAGGGCTGGTAGCCATTGATGAGCCCGATCCTTCATGAAGTTGACTAATCTCTTAAAGTCACCCAAATTGGTTTGTTTGTTTGTTTGTTTGTTTATTATTATTATTATTATTAAATTTATTTTGTTTTTCAGATTAAAATTTTACAATCACATTTCCAACATACAACATAAAAACAAGATTCCAAGGAATTTCCTGGACTTTCCTCCTCCCCTTTGTGGGTCCTACTGTTAATCATTTCCTCCTGCATCTTTTATGATAACCCAAATCTTTTACATCTCCATTATGTCCGAAATTCACCATTAAGATACAAGTGTTATTCCAATCCTACTAACACTGTTAGCTGTTTACAATGGTTTTTAAGATAAATTATAAATTTCCCCCATTCCTTATTAAAATTTTGGTCTTCTTGATTTCTGATTCTTCCAGTCATTTTAGCCATTCGGCATAATCCATCAACTTAATCTGCCATTCTTCTGGTGACTATCGCTACATTTGGGGGGGGGCTGTAACCAACTAAGTTCTACTCAGAGAAGACCTTCTGAAATTAGTGGGCCCAAGCTAACCTTGTCCATCAATTCTGAGGGCTCTACTATTCAGAATCATAGAATCATAGAATCATAGAGTTGGAAGAGACCACAAGGGCCATCGAGTCCAACCCCCTGCCAAGCAGGAAACACCATCAGAGCACTCCTGACATATGGTTGTCAAGCCTCTGCTTAAAGACCTCCAAAGAAGGAGACTCCACCACACTCCTTGGCAGCAAATTCCACTGTCGAACAGTTCTTACTGTCAGGAAGTTCTTCCTAATGTTTAGGTGGAATCTTCTTTCTTGTAGTTTGGATCCATTGCTCCGTGTCCGCTTCTCTGGAGCAGCAGAAAACAACCTTTCTCCCTCCTCTATGTGACATCCTTTTATATATTTGAACATGGCTATCATATCACGCCTTAACCTCCTCTTCTCCAGGCTAAACATGCCCAGCTCCCTTAGCCGTTCCTCATAAGGCATTGTTTCCAGGCCTTTGACCATTTTGGTTGCCCTCCTCTGGACACAGAGCAGGATGGATACTGGATACAACCCATAGCTCATGTCCCTGGTGAACCAAACAGAAGCATAGCATTCAGTGCTGCAAGCCAATGTGTGTCTACTCAGACACTACCCATGGAGTTCATTGGCTTACTCCCAGGGAAGTGTGTACAGGGTTGTAGCCTATGTTTCTCAATTACATCCACCAGAGGTCTGCAGCTTTGGAATTCGGACATCTATACCAGAGCACACCAGCAGTAAAATCCCACTCTCAGCCCATAATCCTCAGAATCTCACCTGTTGGGCTGGATGCTCTTCAGGGTGGCTGGCTCAAAAAGGAAGTGTGCAATCCTAGGCACATCTATTCAGAAGTAAGCCCTGTTGCATAGGAGCCAACTCCTAGTGGTCTTGGGGGCTTCGGCCCCCACAATAAAATAATTGAGGGGACCAAGCCCCCACCAAGTTGATGGGCATTCCCATTCAAATGGTTTATGTGCACTGCATCATGTGATCAATTTTGTGGGGTGGGGCTTACCTGGGCCCCACAATGTTTTATTCAAGTTGTCACTCCTGCCCCACTGAGACCTAGAAAGGCACGACTAAGACTAAGGAAGAGGAAACTGGCAGTCAGTGCCACCTCCTGAACTGGTTGTAAGTAAGAAGGCAGATCAGCTGGGGGTTGGCTGAAGGTGGGCTGAGGTTGGCGGAAGGGGGGCAGTGCTCCACTTGCCCTAATGGACCAGCCTCCACTGTCTCTAGACTGGAAAAAAGGTTTGTGTCTGAAACACTGAAGAACTGCTACCAGCTTGTTGACAATATTGAGCTAGATCCACCACAGAATTTGATTCTGCTTAAGTGCAGTTTCCTGTGTTCCTGCGGAAGCTCACAGAACCCTGGTTTGAACAGCACTGCTTTAACACCACATGGTGTTCCTACAAGTTCTCTCCTAGCAGAACATTTCTAACCATGAGCAAGACTGCATGCAGTTTGAATCGCTTTAAACACAAGCTTCCACCTATCTGTAGCCCATGAATGTACTATGTAAACACTGCAGCGGTTATGCTTTTATGTTCATTTAATATATTTGTGGTAGCTTGTGTTTAGCCACATTGGTGTAGTTAACACTATGCCAATTCCTGCCACAGAAATAGCAGAATGGCCTGAGTTCAAGACCTCATTTAGACTAGTTGACCTCACTTTCTCAGTGTAGCCTACCTCAAAATGGGCTGGTGGAAACCATATACTCTGCTATGAGAAAATTTGTCATTCAAATAAGGTATGGCACTGAGAGCTGAAAGGCAGGACAGAAAGTATTTATAATAAACAAATGCAATCCCAAAAGTAACAATACATGAAAAAGCATAGGATGGTGCTCCTATCTATGCTCCTTGGAGAAAAAGGGTGGAATGAAAGTGTGATATAGGTATATTATATTATACGTACTATTATTATTGAATTGATATTCCACTATTCTTCTTAAAGGAGGACAGGGTAGCATGCAACAAGCAATAAACAATTTGATTTAAAAATAAATAAATAAATAAATAGAAACAATTCCAATACAGATGCAGAGATTTATGTATATCAGCCTGGATAGCTCAGTTGATTAGAGTGTGGTGCTGATAACACCAAGGTTGCAGGTTCGATCCCTGTATTGGCCAGTTGCAGATTCCTGCATTGCAGGGGATTGGACTAGATGATTCTCAGCGCCCCTTCCAACTTTGCAATACCATTCTATGATTCCATGTTATGACTTGGAGCTTGGATAGTTCTGTGCAAGTGGCTTTGCCAGCTACAAGGGTCAGGCTTGGAAAGTGCCGTGCCTTTGCCTACACCGTTTCAAGCCATGCAGGCAAAAAGTGCCTCATCTGATGTCATTGTGGTTGACAGGTGGGTAGCCTTGCCCACCTGCCAGATGTGACCTGCAGCAGGTGAGGGAAATAAAGATCTGGCTTGCCGGCTGGCTCCAGCCTCCAATATTAGCTGAAAGGAGTGCACTGACATACAAAGGTGAGTCTAATTAATTTGCTCTTTCTGAAACAATATGTGAACCGAAATACAGTGGTACCTCGGGTTAAGTACTTAATTCGTTCCAGAGGTCTGTTCTTAACCTGAAACTGTTCTTAACCTGAAGCACCACTTTAGCTAATGGGGCCTCCTGCTGCTGCCGTGTCGCCGGAGCACGATTTCTGTTCTCATTCTGAAGCAAAGTTCTTAACCCGAGGTACTATTTCTGGGTTAGCGGAGTCTGTAACCTGAAGCGTATGTAATCCGAGGTACCATTTTATAGCCGGCCATAGAAATTTGCATAGAGTTTTGCAATGCAGTTCTGCAGCCAAGAAATGTGTGCAGAAAAATGCATATGTTAGTGGAATCAGCAAACAAAAATGAATCACATTAGGGAAAATTGCTTTGCAAAAGTGTGCATAATAGGCAACATTATATTTTAAAAATAGTATTTTAAGAGAATTGCACTAAAATGCTGGTGGATTTTCAATATAACTTTTTTTATTGGAAATTGATGGGGGAAAACAGAGAACCGAATTCAAGGTGGGATAAAATGAGAAACTGAAAGAAACCAAAATTGACAGATTCACTCACATACCCATACACTATACCTATTTTGATCCATATACAACCCTACCTGATGCTCCACTGTTGTGATTTACTGGGGCAAGAGGGGAGCTGCCAACTGTTTTCTTATGTTTAGATGTCAAAAGTGTTAGGAAGAATGATTACTCTGCTGAGTTCCTGTTAATCTTGGAAGAAATAACAACCTGTAGCTTGGAACAGTCGGTCTGGAACATGTGGCTCTTTGCTTGAGTGCAGTCCTACAGAATGTCCCAAGCATCTGTATACCTGTACTGGAGGTTTACATGGGCTCTGTGCCATCTGGCTGAAAGCAAGTCCAAACTGCAGCTTACCGTTTCTATAAACAAATAAGTGGGAAGCACTTTCTTGCTGAATTCAGTGCTTCATTCCTGCTATTATCCCCTCCAGTATAAGGAAATAATGGCTATGGCCAATAATTGGCTATCTTGTGACTTGTGCCAACTCAGAATTGTAAATAAAAATGTGACCGAAGGAAATAGCTCTGAAAAGTGCTAAGAGTAGTAAATACGAAGTGAGGAAAGTGTTTCACTCTAGACTCAAACCTGGTCAGTTGTAAATAAGGGGTCCACCTCCACTGCCATGTCCTTAGCACCCCCCCCCGGTAATACCACCACACACTAGAGGGCGGTACTGTCTACTTTGGGGACCAATGATCTAGATCCATTTCAATCTGGATTCAGGAGTGAACATACCTTGGTGAGCCTGGTGGGTGACCTCTGTTGGGAGAGGTACAGGGGGATTGTGACCATGTGGCTCTTACTAGATTTTTCATCAGCTGTTGACACCATGGTTCATGGAGCCCTTCTGGACCATCCATCAGGAGCAGAGTTCACACCCGGGCACGCCACCTGCCTGCAACTCCCAAGCCTCCCCTGGGCTGTCAAAATGAAGACAAAGCAGCGCAGCTCCCCGCTTCCCCCGATGGCTTGGGGTAGGCTTGGGAGTCACGGGCGGTGTGACGAATGTCACCTCCCTCAGCAATGACACCTGGGGCAGTACATCCCCCTGTCCCCCTTCCTACACCTTTGCTTAACAGCAACTCCCCCGTAGCTGATGAAGTCCTCTCACAAATTCAGCAAAAACAAATTAGAGATGAGCTTGCAGTAAATCTGGGAGAGTTGTGTACAGCTTTTAACCAAATGAAAAAACAACAAAGCCAGTGGACCTGATGGGATACATGCCAAAGTCTTCAAAGTGGGCAGAATTGAACTTACACAACAACTTCACAAGTGTATCGAAAAATCTGGGAGAAAGAGGAGCAGACTTTAGCCAAAATTATCCATCTCTTTAAAACAGGTGAGAGAACTGATTGCGGAAACCATCAAGGTATCTCTTTATTAGCTGTGGCCGGCAAAATTATTGCAAAGATCTTAGCAAACTGTCTCCTAACAATATCCGAGACTACCCTTCCTGAATCCCACTGTAAATCGTAATGCCCTGCAGACTGTCCTTCTGAAAACTGGCTGCCCAGATAAATTTGTGAACACTCTTTGGCTCCTCCATGATAATATGACATCAACAATCACAGATAAAAATGACTCTCAAAGTGGACCATTCACAGTGGGATCAGGTGTTAAACAGGATTGTGTTATCGCCCCAACTCTATTCATTATTTTCATTGCCATGATCCTACACTTTGTTGAAGGGAAACTCCCCAACGGAGTAGAAATCATATCGAACATATGGAAAGCTCTTTACTCTCAATAGGCTGAAAGCAAAGAGTAAGGTTATCGTAACTTCCATCATAGAGCTTCAGTATGCTGATGACAACATAGCATGTGCACACTCGGAGGCTGACCTCCAAATCATCCTAAATATCTTCGCAAAAGCTTATGAAAAGCTTGGCCTATCACTCAACATCCAAACCAAAGTGTTGCACCAACAAGCACAAAACAACCCCTCTGCAGTGCCACAAATCCAATTCAATGGTGTAACATTGCAAAGTGTTGATCACTTCTCCTACCTGGGCTTTCCACAAGGGCCGACATTGATGCCGAAATCCAGTATCGCCCAATTTCTGCGAGTGTAGCTTTCTCCCGATTGAAGTACAGAGTGTTTGTGGACTGGGGCATTCACAGGGAAACCTAAATGCTTGTTTACAAAGCTATTGTACTACCAACCTTACTGTACGCTTGTGAAACATGGACCACTTATAAACGCTGTCTCCAACTCCTCGAAAGATTCCATCAATGGTGTCTCTGAAAAAAAATTACACATCACTTGGGAAGACAGGTGAACTAATGCCAGTGTTCTGGAAGAAGCAAAGATCACCAGTGTCAAAGCAATAATTCTTCAACATCAACTTCATTGGACTGGTCATGTTGTTTGGATGCCTGATTATTGTCTTCCAAAGCAACTACTCTACTCTGAACTTAAAAATGGAAAGCATAATGCTGGTAGTCAACAAAAGAGGTTTAAAGACTCTCTCAAGGCAAATCTTTAAAAATGTAGTATAAACACCAACAATTAGCAAACACTGGCCTGCGAGCGCTCCAACTGCAGACCAGCCTTTACCAAAGGTGTAATGGACTTTGAAGACACTCAAACTCAGGAAAAGGGAGAAACGTGCTAAGAGGAAGGCATGTTTCGCAAATCCTCACTGTGATTAACTCCCACCTAGAAACCTACGTCCCCACCATGGAAAGACGTGTGGATCCAGAATTGTCCTCCACAGCCACTTACGGACTCACTTTTAAAAGTGTTCATGGAAGACAATCTTACTTGACTAGAGCAATCGCCAAAGAAGACTTTAGTTCCTGAATCTCCTACACATATTGATAGTTTGCTCAGCTTAACAGATACTTTGCCAGACTGTATTTGCAGGGAGGTGTAAGCCCCTACAGCCCAAGGACAATTGGAAAGCTTTTCCCATTTTCCTTCCTCCTTGCAGAGAAATATTTGAGGTCTATTTAGGAAGAGTCAAAATGGCTTCAGGATTGCTCTCCTGTACTATTTTCAGACCATGTGGTTTATATACTTATGTGCCTGCCTTGTACATTCATGAAGATTTATTCTATATCTGAGACCTCAGAATTCTGTTTAACACTAGTAAGTCCGTTTCCCATACAATTTGACACCAACGGTCCATGTTTACACCTGACAGGTGTCTCCAATGTCTATATGAGGCTATAAGGCTCCTGAAGAGTCAGGTGGGTTATAATAATTGCTCTGTATAATGTTAATGGAGTCATGATTATCTTGGAAAGCGGCGCCAGTTCTGGGGGTGACTTCTAATACCTAAAACTTTCAGAAGGAAAAGGGAGAAGAGCCTCAAGCGTGAGCAACAACTCGAAACAAACGAACGTGAGTTTCGGGCAGCGGCGGCGGCACCACGAGGCGCTGAGGCCGCTCCCCGCCGGCCTCCCCTCACAACAATAATATCCGGCCCAGCCAGCAGCCGAGCTCGCTTCCATTGGCTCCCCCGGAGAGGGCCGGAAACAACCCGGTCAGGACTGGGCCGCGGCGGCGGCGGCGGCGCCTCTCCTGAGGAAGGCGGCGGAGGCTTTGTTTGCGACGACGGCGAGAGGCCGCCCGACAGCCAGCATGGGCGAGCAGCTGCAGGGCGCCGCGAGGCGGGACAGCCCCGGCTGGGGGAGCAACGGTGGGTCGAGGGCGGGACGGGGACGGCGGTGCCGGCCTCTTGGGTGTCTTACTTGGGAGAAAGTTCCGTTGAACAGCGCGGGTTTGTTTTGGTTTTTTACTCCCGCGTAAAACAAGTGAGCAACGGCGGCGACGGGTGTGGGCACTTTGGGGATGCGAGAGAGGTGGCAGGGAAGAGATGGGGGCTGCTCCTCGTTTGCTCCGGCTTCTTCTCAAGTGAGCCGAGTCCCCGTAGCTCACTTTTTGCAGGTTGCAACTCGTAAAGTTTGCTTTCTTGGGGAGTAAATAAATCCCACGGGGTTCCCCTGTTGATCATGCTCAGGATAGGCCCTTTTTAATTTTCATGAATGGGCCGGAGTTAGCCGTGGGTTGCAGCCAATGCTAGCCTTTGCTCAAAAGGTTAAAATAAATATGCACGACTAATTTCGGCCCTTTAATTTTCAACGGGTCGCCGCTGAGTTGAGTTCCGAGTGTGATGCAGCCCGGTGAGGTCACCTGGGCGTTGCTTCTGAGTAAACCTGCTCCGGGATCACGTTGCGACTCTGCGGGAAGCTTTTTTTAAAAAAATGCTTCCGGTTAGAGCGAATTTGTGCTTTTAAAGGGGGTTCAAAATCAACAAAATGTTGGGTGTCTGTGGGTTTTGTCCTTCACGTCATCGTGGAGAGGCCTGAGTGGGTACCGTCTAAAAACTAACTAGAGAAACATTGGTTTATTTGTCACTGTGTAAAAGCTCTGTTGGCTAGAAGTGCCACTTCAGATTTGTGAAATGGTTTAATTTAATAATGTGATCATTTTAAGCCGCCTCCTTTGGGGCCCATACCTAAGGCTTAGAGAGAGCTCATAATAATAAACATAACCAATGCCCTTTTAAAATGTGCTGGGGAAGGGGGATTCTTGGGTTGGTCTTTTTATTATGTATTTTGTGTTTTTATCTTGTAAACCACCCTGAGTCCTGTAGGTATAGGGTGGTATACAAATTTAATGATTAATAATAACAATAAGATATGGTATTGATAGCATTAATAGGAGTGATATTAATGTTAATTTAATGGATGACTCCCGCTCGCTGCTTTGGCTTCCTCTTTAGCCCCGTGCAGCCTCTCCCTGCCGGAGGGGTTGCACGCGGCTATGGCACAAGCCAAGGCAGTGAGCAGGATGGATCCCGCTCGCTGCTTTGGCTGTGGCACAAGCCTCCATTCGCTCCATAGGACGCACACACATTTCCCCTCAATTTTTGGAGGGGAAAAACTGCGTCCAATAGAGCGAAAAATACGGTATATTGTACATGGGAACATGGCACACTTCATTCCCAACACCACCCCTCCCTCCATGGTGGATCATCTAGTGAAGTGCAGCCCCCTGCAATTCAGGCATATGCAGCTGTCCAGCCGTCCACACCTGAAACCTTGGCATCAGCACCATGCTTTAACCAACTAAGCTTGGGAGCTACCGGTAATTTGTTAACCTTTCCCCCCTTTTCTTTTTGCAGAGGTTTTCCTTCTTGACTCACAGTATGTAGCACCAACTGTTGCCTTTCTGCAAGAACTACCCAGTTACCAGTCTATGTTGAGGAGGAGAACTTCAGTGGGAGGATTGCGGGACTACCGCAGTTTAGCACGGACAGCTTCTGGCGAGACCAGCAGTCTCCTAGAAAGGGTTGGACCAGGAAGCCCAGGCTCTGCACAGCCGCTGAGAGAATATGCCTTAACTATTGCAGAGAAGAGAAGATTAAGGTTAGAGAGAGAAACTCTTTGAGCTGTATAGTATTTGTGGTAGTGGGATCCATTTCTGGGTAAAAATTGCTTCTGGGAAATGGATTTTATTAATTTCTAAAATTGTTTTTAAATGGCAGTAAGTCATTTTGCCTCCACCATGCTCCTAAGCATTAGTCCATGTTCAAGGAAGTTAGGTTAAGATGACGTAAGTAAAAGAATCCAAATCTTTGTGTTAAGATGAAAAATTAATTCCAAAAGTATAACCCTCCCCCTTCAGTTTATGATATAGGCAATGGCCATTCGCAGTTCTCACTCATGGTCCAACAGGCATGGAAATTGTAAGCTAAGGGATTTTTAACTTTATATGTTATATTGTAAACTGCTTTGGGATGCATCATGTGCAGTTGTTATTATTATTATTATTATTTTAATAATCCTGCATTTTCACCAGTTCTAAAATGAAACCCCCAATGTCATATTATTTCGTTTTACCTTACTAGGGAAATTCAGGTGGCTAACATAAGATACCTGTCAGGTTGGCATCAGTGGAGGCAGATAAGTAGCAAATCATGGAAAAAAATTGTAGAGGATACCAGAGAACTGTCATCTTACTTTGAACTTTGGGGACATGACATCCGCAGTATTGAGGGTATGTTCTTTATTCATTTGTATGCTGCTTGATTTTGCTCCTTATTTTCATTGTCTTTTTCACATCTTTTATTCAGTTATTCAGTGGATTTATAAACTGGTTGACTGAGAAGCTCTCCACAAAGAAATTGCACAAATAAAATTGTAAATAAGACACAGCTAAAATCCACAAACAAATTAAACATAAAAATACAAAAAACCCTCTAGGTTAGATTACTGCAATGTGTTATTTACTGAGGCTGCCTTTGAAGACAGTGCAGAAACAGCAGCTTCTGCATAACATACAACACACATACAACACACGTTTCTCTCCCGATTCCTTCCCTTTTCAGCTCTCTGCCATTACAGTAACTAACTTGGCTTAAAACAGTAACACCAAAAGTACAATGCATTTAAATAAGCCAGTTTTAAAAAGAATGCACTAAACGTTCACAGACAGACAAATCTGTCACAAGTCACCCACCCCACAACTGCAGGATGAGGCAACTGTTCAGATCTTCAGGTGATGAGCTGAGCCTTGAAAAGAAGATGTGAGAGTAAATGTCATTGCTTCAACTTCCTCCTTTATCTCTGTGTACTTTCGAAGTGGTGGGTGGAGGGAAGATAACCAGCCACCCTCAGAATCTCATGATGGAGGGAACAGTGAGGGGGGCAAATGCTTGGGGAAAACAAAAGTGTCTTTGCCTGGCAAAGGAAAGATTCCAGTGATGGAGACAGACATGGCAACTTTGGAAGAGTGTTCCACAGCTGAGTGGGCTACCACTGAAGAGGTTTAGCATGTTGTCCAAACCTGGGATTGTGCTTAAAGTTTCTCCTGATTGACCATGATCTGTCACCAAAGTTTGTCGTTAAGGAGCAAAGATCTTGACCACAATTCCAGGTTTGGACAATATCATAAGCCAAACCTTAGGTGCTGTGCTGAGCTAAAAAGCCTGTGAAGGAACCAAGTGGTTATAATCTGCTCCTTGGGAGGCAGTACATTCACACTAAGCCATGTACAATGGCTTGGCTTGGTTTGGCTTAGTATTATGTGCAAACTGAGGCCATTCAAAGGGCCCACCTTTCTTCCACTATGGAACTTGAGGCAGGGTACTTGGGGGTCTTCCGACCAGGCCCAGACCTTTTCCTTCAGCAAGGTGGCTGCATCATGTGCATCCACTGTTTTACATTAACAGTAAATGTGTTCATTCATAAATTAAATCTTTCTTTTCATAGGGAAGTTTGGCACTGGGATCCAGTCTTACTTTTCCTTTCTACGATTCCTCGTGATCCTGAACGTTGTGATCTTTCTCCTTGTGTTCACCTTTATCACCCTTCCTAGTGCCTTTTACAAACATGGAACGGTCAATGGCAGCTACGTTCAACTTCCCCTGAAGAGCATAGGTAATACACTCTTCCTACTAACCTGTTTTCTGTTCGCAAGTACAGACATAGCAGACGAGCATTTGGCTGTTTTCACTCCTCCTGTTCCATTTATTTTCTTTTGATCTCTTATCTACAGAGCACCACTGCACAGTTTATGTTGTCAGTGGTACCAAGGGACTTATTTACTTCTACAGTTACGTTATAGATCTGCTGACTGGCACAGTAAGTATTTGGACATATATTGCTAAATCCAAAGAAGCAGATTAAAAAAACAAAACAAACGGGGAGGGTTTCATTTGGCGGTAGAAAGCCCCCTCCCTCCACCTTCTGGGCAAAATGGTGAGGCTGCATTGGGCAGGGTAAATCTCTAAAGTTAAGTTCTTCAGAGTAGAGACTCTCAGGTTGTGTACACGCTGTGCAGTTAAAGTCAATTCACCCCCTCAATGAATCCTGGGAACTGTAATTTTGTTAAGGGTGCTGGGAATTTTAGCTCGGCAAGGTGTAAACTGCCATTCTCAGGATTCTTTGGGGGGTTGGGGGGGAAATGTGCTTTAAATGTATGGTGTGTATGTAGCTTTACAATGTCATGCAAGCACTGGCCCATTGCTTCCTGTTAAACCAGCTTTGATCCGTCGCCTTATATTTTGGCTTCCTTAGAACACATTAAACATAGTTCCCTTTGACAGGTAAAGATTTATCCCATTCAGTGCAGCCTTGCCGCTTGCTTGCTCACTCGTGCAGAGCCACTGCTTGCAGGTGCCTGAAGCCTGTGCATGTATTGGTTTATTAAGTAGATACTTGTTTTTCCGAATGCGTCCATAATGTGCATGTGACATACATTACTGAATGCAGAACTTTGCATCCTGAGAACCCCTGCTTTAATTTTAAGTTTCTTGTCCTTCTAGCTGTAGCACTGTAAAACTGGTGTACAGTGGTACCTCTGGTTACGTACTTAATTCGTTCCGGAGGTCTGTTCTTAACCTGAAACTGTTCTTAACCTGAAGCACCACTTTAGCTAACGGGGCCTCCTGCTGCTGCCGTGCCGCAACTGCGTGATTTCTGTTCTCATCCTGAAGCAAAGTTCTTAACCCGAGGTACTAATTCTGGGTTAGCGGAGGCTGTAACCTGAAGCATATGTAACCTGAAGCGTCTGTAACCTGAGGTACCACTGTATTTAATTTTTACATTAAAAAAAATTACTTCAATGGAAGAGTTTTCCTCCAAAGACCTTAGGGCAGTGTATATGGTTCCTGCCTCTCTTCCCTTTATAGACAGCTGTACTACGTAGGATGGCATCCAATGAAGTAGTTTCCTTAATGCAAGGACCTCGGACTGTGCAATGGAACTTCTCCCTCCCTCTACTTGGCCTCCCCCCCCCCCCCGTGTTCCTCTTAAATCTGTGCTGGGGATCTCCCCAGCCCTCCAAGGAGGGCATATGGGGAGTTTGAGGAGAGGAAGGGGAAGTTCTGTTGTTCAAATGGAAATGCTTGTGCCAATTGAGCTACTTCATTGGATACCACCCTTTGGGGCTCTTCCAGTTTATCTTGATTTACACAGTTGAAGGCTTTTCCTTATAGGTAAAGAGCTTTATTGGGGGTGCAACACCATTTGTTGTCAAATAGTTGCTTTTGGCACTTGGCAAAGACTCCAGAGCATGTCTGTAAACCGTTGTGTGCTTCTATGTAGTAACTTTCTTCTGTGCTAAATTCTTGCAGGGCTTTCTGGAAATGACTAGTCTCTTTTATGGCTATTACACAGTAGATACCATCTATTTTGGCTTCCTGAAATACCATGTGCCGCTTGCCTATTTGCTGACCACGCTGGGTTACCTTTCATTAAGCTTTCTCTGGATCGTGAAAAGGTAAAGTTAGCTTGAAGTGTGCGCTGTGATGGCCCATTTGGGTCTTTTCCCTGCATTTCTCTTATTTTTTCATGATCTTTTCTCCTGTCACTATGGTTAATGTTCAACATACTTTAGTTATCCTTTATTTAGTTATCCTTTATTTATGCCGCAGGCACAATTCCTTTAAAAAAAAAAACCTTAGAGAGATTTGAGGAGGTCCTTGCTCTGCCAGTCTGGTCAGGAAGGTGGGCAGCCATTCCCTCTGGAGAAGCAGCAGTGCTAAAGGCCCCAGGAGGAAGTGCCATCTGATAGGTCAGGAATTCCCTTCACTCCCACCCCAGAGACTCTCTTGCTTGATAAACTGGGCTGAAAATGATGCGGGTAATAAAACAGGCAAGGAGCTTCCCTGTGTTGTCTAGTAGTGCCTTTTGTAGGTTTGCAAAGGTCTCTTCTGCTTGAGTTCAACGGGACTTGCTTCCTAGTGAGAATCTGTAGAGTTGCACTCAGGGTCAGCCCACCCTTGAGACAAAATGAGGTGACTGCCTCAGGGATCAGGATCCACAGGGGCAGCTCCTGATGTGGATCTTCACTCACCCCCTTCTCTCGTGGTGAAGGGGGGAAACATTTTGTGGGTACTCTCAGGGGCTGGCCCTGATTGCAATCATGGCTTACTTCATGGCAAGTAAGAGCTTTGCCTCGTAATCAGTAAATCCTTTTGTAGAAACTGGTGCTGGATTGTATCACTAGAGACTGCTGGGGGGTGGGTACCAAATATTTCAGTGCTCCCCAGCTTAAAAAAAACCTGCATACCTGCTTTCTCCCTGACATTCTCAAGATGCACATCTTTACACTTGGTGTATATTTGGACCCACCCTATTCTTCCTATCGTAATTCATTAAAACTGTTTTCAGTGTTGTATTTTTAATTGTTGTGACCCACCCTGGAACCTTGGGGTGAAGGGTGGGGAATATGTCAAATTGATAATAATTCTAGGGAGTGTTTATAGATAGGTAGATAGACATTTAGAAATATTTTGTTTTCAGCTGAAGCTATACAGTAGAGCAACAGGAAAACCATGAAATGCTTTTTGTCTGTTTCATCCCCTAATGGTGTAATCCTATGCAGAGTTACTTTGGAGGAAATTCAAATGAATTAAGCAGCACTTAATTCTGAGTGTCCATGGGTAGGATCTGGCTGTGAATGAGTATACTCTTCCATGTACTTGTACAAATGGGAAAATCTTTAAGTTGCTAATCAAGCATTTCATTTTTGGGGGATGCTTTTTCCAGATCTGTCGATGGATTCAAACAAAGCTTGGTACGCAACGACGATCAGTTTCAGAGTTACTGCAACAAAATATTTGCTGGCTGGGATTTCTGTATTACGGATGTAAATGCTGCACGGCTCAAGCATAGCAGCTTGCACTATGAGCTTAAAGTGAGTGTACCATTCCGTCTCTTTATAATGCTCAGCCTGTGACTTGCCATTGCAAATGTACCCCAAACAGTACTACCTAAACACCAGAGGGAGGCAGCAGCAGGTCTGGGGAACTCCCAAGGTTTGCAGAATTGCAAAAAAAGGGGGAAATACTTTTAGGGAGGGTAGGGGGCAAAACAGACCAGTGGAGAATGCTCAGTGACCATGGAATGCTGTCTGACTTGTGGGTGGGAAACCAGGTGTGGGTGGAACAAATGAAATGGAGTGGCCAGAATCTTGAGCAGCAGAACTCTATATTGCAATTTTTTCCTGCAGGGGGCTTGTGTGTATCTCTCCCTCCCCCCAAAAAAACACCACCCATGCTTCATGCATTGAAGGGAGTTGGACTAGATGACTCTCGTGGTCCCTGCCTACAATTCTATAATTATATGATCTATGTCAAACTGGGCTATGTGTCATAATACACATAATACCTCAATTAAAGTGAGAGAGAAATCTAAATAAATAGTGGTGAGTGAATCATAGCATAAACAACATGTAAGAAAAATTGAGAAACTACTCTTACTGTGCAAGCCTGTCTGAGCCTTCCGTGTTCAGTGGGGCTTACTCCCAGGAAAGTGGGTGTAGAATAAATAGCAATATAGCAGAGGTGGATGAGAGGCTTCAGCAGAATGTCTCCGGCATCACATTTGGCTGCTTTGCCACCAACAGAAGAGTTAAATGCTGTTTTTAATTCTGAATTTAAAATTGTTGTAAGCTGCCCTGAAACTTTGCTCATGAAGGGTAGGTAATATGTTTAGTCATAAGAATAATAAAGAATGTTGTTAATCTGTTGTTAGCCTCCTTAGGGATCATTTGACAAAAGTTGGGGTTTAGTTTTAAAAAATAACATTGGTAAATGAATTTCTGTTTACAGACTGACTTGGAGGAAGAGAGACTAAGGCAGAAGGTTGCAGAAAGGACCACCAGAGAGAAAATACGCATCTATTGCTTGAGAATATTCCTAAACTGCGTTGTCCTAGCTGTTTTGTCAGCTTGCTTTTATTCTATCTATAGAGCAACAGTCTACTCACAAGAAAACATTTCCAATGTAAGTGGCATGGCAGATTTTTATAAACAAATCTCTCCAGGCAGGGCAAGCAATGGGAATAACTGTCGCCATTTCCAAGGAGTTGTAATTTCACTACAAATATGGTGCCTCCCTGGAGAATTTATCAGAATGTCCAGTTTAAACTCTGAAAAGCCGTTATTAGCAGTAGAACAGTTGTGGAGAGGAACGAAGATGCCAGAAAGGGAGGCTGATGAGCTTAGGAATTGTGCACCTTCCCACGCAAGCAAGAGGCAGACACTTTGGGGAACTTAAAAGTACATTCATGGGAGTTTTGCAGCTGGTGTCTTGTGTGCAGATACGGGGATGCTATCAGCTAGAGAGAAGTACACAGCAGAGGGAATAGCTGACAAAACTAAAGAATCAGGGACCAAGTGTATTTCCATCTGCTGGGAAAGAAGCTGTAGTTGCTACTGTAAGATCAGGTCAGCAGGAAACAGGTCTTGACGAGTTGCAAGTTGAAAGTTTCTGTGCTCTGCCTCCATGTTTTGAGACAGTAATACTTCTGAATACCAGCTGCTGGAAGCCACAGGAGGAGAGAGGGCTCTTGTGCTTGGGTTCTGCTTGCTGGTTTCCCACGGGCATCTGCTTGGACACAATGGGTGTGAGAACAGGATGCTGGACTAGATTGGCAATTAGCCCATCTTATGTTCTTATGAGTTCTGCAACTAACCAGAGAAACGACTCCTCCCTTTGCTTTTGCTTTCTTTCTCTCTATGCAGGACCACAAACAGAGATTTGACGATAACCTCATAGTACAGTACTTACCGTCTATGGTGATTACGATGGCCAACTTTATTGCCCCATTAATTTTTTCAGTTCTCATCAAATTTGAAGACTACTCGCCAGCCTTTGAAATCCGGTTAACGCTGATGAGGTAAGCACCCGCGCTGCTCGATTCCGTAATACAATATCGAAATAGAACCTTTTTCCAACTCTGTGCACCTGCCGCCACCTATTCTGGTGTTCTTAGGTCTGGTAGCGCCTTGTGGCTGGTTGGGCTTCTCTAATTGTGTGTTGCCAAATGGTCACTCTTTGTGCTTCTAGGTTCATAGCTGCTTCCAAAATTGAGTTGGGTGACCAAGCGTCATGCCACACCCTGATGACAACTTGCAGGAATAGAAATAATAGAGTTATCTCTGCTGCTCTGGGCAAGTGAGAGAGCAGAACACTTTGGCATGTTGACTCCTCACTTCTAAGAGATCATGGCAGCAGCTTTAAAACCATGGATTGGCTGTGGGGAAAGGAAGAGAGGTGGATCAAGGGCCCAGTAGGCGGGGAGATTCTACGAGTTTCCATCATGGATTGAAACTGATGAAATGGGAGGGAGGGATCCGTCCCTAAGCATTCTGTGCAGAATCACCTTAGCCAGTTGGCTCCCTCTCCTTGACCTTTTGCATTAGAATGCCTAAAGCTGCATATTTTAACTCATGGATATCTTTTGCTTTTTTGTAATCAAGCCCCTGGTATTGCAAAATCCCCATAGTATAAAAATTGGACAATTCATTGGTGTGTTCCTTCCATTTTGTTTTGAAGGTGTGTCTTTGTGAGGCTGGCCAACATTGGTGTTCTCTTGTTCTCACTGTGGACTCGAATCAGGTCCTGTACTAATGCAAAATGCATGGCCTGTGGATACAACTATCAGCTCTACCCTGTAAGTAGATATACATGTGAACTAAAATTGAGATGTGTGAAACAAGGTCTCCCTTTCCATTGACTGTCCTTAAACCCCTCTTGGAACCAAAGGAACCCTGGCAGAAACTGCTCACCAAAGTGAAAATCTTTACAGCTGTACTTGCCCACATTCGGTTTCCAGTAGCTTTGTGAATTTTGTTTTAGTGAGATGACAATGCAGTGGTGTTTTATGATAATCTTAAAACATAATAATCAGCTGAATTAATTTTGATAAACCCTTTTCTTTTCCTTTCAGTGCTGGGAATCTCGAGTTGGCCAGGAAATGTATAAGCTGATGATCTTTGACTTCATCATAATATTTGCTATTACAGTCTTTATTGACTTTCCAAGAAAGTGAGTATAAACTTCAGTGAAGAGGTATTTCCTTTCTTTACAGTTGAAACACAATTTAAGACCAAGACAACAATGCCCATTTACACCACAAAGAACTCATAACCCACCTACTTTCAGCAGCCAGAAACACCATAACCAGACACTGGAGAGACCTGTCAGGAGTAAGCATGGACCAATGGTACCAAATAGTATGGGAAACAGCCCTACTAGAAAAATTAACTAATAAACTGAAACTGACACAGGGACAAACAGAAGAAGACGCCTTCACCCCGGTATGGCTCCCCTTTATCACATACACAGCCCAACAAGACAATGACAATAATCCACCAACAGCATACAAATCAATATGTCTAACCTTATCCAAAACACCCACTCACCTCACTCACACACGAAAACAAAGATCACTACAGCCAATCACACCCTAGGCCAACCCCAACCTCTCTCACCACCAAAGGAACACAAGTAACGCTGACACCAAACTCTACATACATTAAGCATAATAGAAACATCGCCACCCGACCCCACCCCCATCCATCTTCCCTCCCCCTTTCTTTTTCCTTCCTTTCTTTTTTTTTTCCTTCTCCCCCTAATGCCTCAACAAATGAAATGGATTTGTAAAAATGTTACATGGAAAAAAAAACCGAGGCATTACACTTACTTCTGTAAAACAAGAAAATCCTTAATAAAAATATTAGGGGGAAAAACAAAAACACAATTTAAGACCAAAAGTAACCACTTTCAGTTTTGTTTTGTTTTAAAAAATGCTGTTTCCTGTAATGTCTAAACTTGGGTATCTGTTCGTTTGTGAGAAATGCTGTGCTAGCAAGAAAAGCCAGAATCATAACGGTCACTTCAGGTCCTTGCTTGTTGTGAAACCATTGCTACTTTAAGCAAACCACGGTTGCCTGAGTTTGAACATCACAGGGAATTGCAGTTAGTGGATACCTCTAATCTCCTGGTGGGCATGAAAGAAGGGGAGGGGTCTGGGAACCATAGGCTCCCAAGGCTTTACTGCATCTCATTTGTAGAGAAACCATGGTATCCTGTTCTGCCTAACTTAGTCCAAAATACTTAAGCTTCCCCTTGTGAATCCTTTATTAAAAGATGAAGTACAAAAGTAAGAGATTTTTGAAAATATTAAGCGGTATTTAAGCAAATAACTGAGCCACAAACCATAGATAAACCTTGGTTAGTTTGGATGGAGCTAAACCATGAGCCTCAGTTTGGCTGACATGCTATGCTAAACCCTGGCTTAGCTCATCATGCTGTGTAGCAGCAGGACAACCTAGGAGGAGGAGTAATGGGACCATGAACTTCACTCTTGGAACTTGCACGTTCATGCTAAGTGTGTATGAACTTGGGACAATATTTTTTTGGGGGGGGGGGGGACAGCCTCAAATCTCATCATGGCAATAAGGGTGCCACGGGTTAGGTTCAAGAGCAAACTCGGAAATAATTTTTCATTTGTTTCCAATCTGGCAACATTTGCTCAACCCCACATTTCTGCACCATGCACTACCTGGCTAGCTATGAATGCAGTTATGTTTCTGATATTTTATTTCTATAAATGATGAAAAGGTTCATTTAGTTTTATTGCTGGACTGTAAAGTAGGGCTTTTTTATTACTGTTCCTAGGTTGATGGTTACCTATTGCTCATACAAGGCCTTCCGGTGGTGTGGTCTGCAGGAGTTTGCCATCCCTGACAACGTACTGGAAATTGTTTACGGGCAAACTATCTGTTGGATTGGGACTTTCTATTGTCCTCTTCTCCCTGCCATCGCAGCAGTAAAATATTTTGTCGTCTTTTACATTAAAAAGGTACCTGGTCTTTTTAATGCTGACTGTTGCCTAGGTGTATCTGTAACTACAGTTTTAAAAATTTCCACCCTGCACCGGACTTGTAAAGGGAGGAGTTGCAGAACAACAATTTTTGCTCTTGTGCAAATTCCTTACTTGTTTCTCTTCAGTCAGGTACAGAGGGGGGTGGAGCCCTTTGCATGTTAATTGTATTACAATTTGAATTCTGTGCAGTACAATAAAATACAACAGAAGAAAGAAAAGGAAAATGCAATTAAAAAGCATACGGCATCTAGCGCAGTGCATTACAATGACCACATTGAGGCTGTCAGAAATTTTAAGTCTGGGGAAAGATGTCTGGGGACCACAGGAATAGAGGTTAGAATAGGAATCCACAACTGGACGTTGCTGGGTAAAATCTGGCCCTTCAGGGTTAGGCCTGAGCCTCACTTGCTAGCCCAGATAGGTGAACCAGCAAGAAGGTGCTGGTTCAAATGACATTGGGAGTTACTGACAGGTGATTGGTGTGTGGGTGTGGCCTTCCTGCTATGCAAAGCTAGTTCCTCTCCAGGAGCCCAAACTCCTGGCACCTGGGCTGAGCTCTTCTCTTCTCTCCAGATTAGTCTAATGCATACATGCAAGCCTTCAACGCGGCCCTTCAGAGCGTCCAGCTCCAACTTTTTCTTCCTGGTGGTGCTCTTGATTGGCCTCATTCTAGCTTTCATTCCGTTGGGACTCAGCATGACGCAGTAAGTAGTCCTTTTAATACAGCTTTGCCTCTCTGTTACTGTGTAGCTGGGAGGGGAAATGGGTCTATCCAAGTCCACTTATGTGCCAATGTTCAAAATCATAAGTTGTGATGACAGCTTATTTCACTGTAGAAATGGTCAGGGGAAAGTACACGCGAGCTAAAAAGCCTTGGAAAATAAAAAGGAATTTTCCTAGTGCTTAACAAACATTTTTATAGGTGTCATATAAGCCTTTCTGGGGGCATGGGAGAGTTTCCCAAGCAGAAAGGCTCTCCCCTGTCTCATTTCAGAGTGTGGGGGCACATCTGCCTTCTGAATGGGGGCTCCTGCTATCAGAGGACACTGGAGTAGGGCTTCATTATGAATCAACCTAGACCCCTCTATCATCGTTTCCATGTGCCCCCCTCTATGGGAGGTCGGGAGGATGGCAACACAAGAATGGGCCTTCTCAGTGGTGGCTCCCTGCTTGTGGAATGCTCTCCCCAGGGAGGCTCACCTGGTACCATCATTAATTTCCTTAAGTCACCAGGCAAAAGCATTCCTTTTCTGACAGGCCTTTTGCTTTTAATTATTTGTGGCCTTCTTCAGCGGGTGGGATGTTTTAGTTCTGTCTTTTAAAAATATGATCAAGTTTTATATTGTTTTAGTTTCATGCTGGTTTTAATGTATCCGTTACTTCGTCATTATTGTAAGACATTTTGAGTTACTTTTGCATTAAAAAATGACTAATAAGCTTAGTTAATAGTAATTTTCTTGCCCATGCTTCCTTCCTTCCCCGCTTAAACAGCATTCCCTCCTCAAAAGCGTGTGGGCCTTTTGTGAATGTTAACCGTTCGTGGGATGTCATAGAACATACGGCGCATCATTTTCCACCAGTATTGCAGAAGGTTCTGAATGGCATTGTATCGGAAGCATTTGCAGTGCCTTTCTTTATGGTTGTCTGGTAAGCACTGGCCAGGCTGGCCTTGATCTCTTCCATGTTGTTCTTCAGTGTTGTCTGGGGTCAATAGAAAAATGTTCCCAGTACACAGCTATTGGATCATGTTCCAATGTAAATGTACCAGATTATTTTTGCGGGGGGGGCGGGGCGGGGATGCTGAGCACTGCTATGCAGAAGCAACCATTGGCTATTTAGTTGAAACAGTTCATACTGCTGGTGTTTCTGTAAGTATGATATCCATATGATATTGTAAAAATAGAAAAAGATCTACTGTATCTTAATAATGTGTCCAACTGCCACCCTTTCCCCCTCTAACTGACAATCGCTTAGCACTATATAGAGCAGTGTTTTTGTAGCTGGTATTCTTACATTGTGCATGATACCACAGTTGTGTGCTGGAAACACTATTTTATTAATGTCACTGCTGTTCCATTGTTTATTTAAAGGATTTTTGCCCTGCTCTTCAGCGGCAAAGGCTCCGAGAGCAGCTTATAGTTCAATAATAAAAAAAAGGCCATTCCCCTTCTCAAGCTTAGAATACTGGTCACTTGTTTAGCTTCAGTTGCTGAGGTCACCATTGGCAGGCATCTGCTGTGGAGAAAGCAGCGTGGACAGTGTTGCAGCCTTTGCTAGGGTTGAGTGTCCCATGTACGTTTGAAGCTGCCCTGTACTGGGAGGCCACCGGGCTGACTGGCCCTGTACTGGGAAGGACTAGCTTGGGCAAAAGACTCCTTAGGTTAGGGTTTTCTAAGCAGGGACTAGATAAGGATGCAGTAGCCATGGATTCCCTACATTGGTTGGGAGTTGGACTAAAAGACCCTTTGAGATCCTTTCCAACTCTGATTCTGTTGTTGAGTTTGATTGACATCAGACCTCCAAGGCCTCCAGCACTGGTCCCCTTTCCCACCCCTGCTGCCTTTTAGATCCTTACATGCAGCCCCAATTATAGCAGTCTTTTGACACAGCAATGCCTCTCTTCTTGTGGATTTCATTGTTCAAATACTAAGAAGAATGTAGTTGATGTAGCGCTCACGCCTTGGATGCAGATGGTCCCAGGTTCAGTCCTTGGTATCTCCAGTTCAAAAGGTTGGGTGGCAGCTGACAGGAAAGACCCCCTGCATGAAGGCCTGGAGAGCAGCTGCCAAGTCAAAGACGACAACACTGAGTTAGATGGGCAAAGAGCTTGAGCTCGTATAGGGCAGCTTCCTGTATAAATGCAGAAAAAGGTCATTGGTTAGTTAATATGTTTATGGCCCTAAACATCCATGATAAACATTAAATTGCTATTGGAGACAGATTACTGGGCTTGAGGAACTCTTCATCTGTCTTGTTGAAGTTGTTCCTGCATTTGGTAGCTTGGGAATCCTTACTATTATATCATATGTATCTCAATCTTCTGGATGCTGTTTTACAAAACTTGGGCCTGCATCAGTATTAAACTGTCCTGATGTTTGTGTTTCTCCCTTGTTTTACAGCCTTATTATGTTTTATTTCATTGCCTTGGCTGGAGCACATAAACGAGTTGTCAATCAACTCAGGGAACAATTAGTTATGGTAAGTTTAAATCAGTGCTTCATCTCCCCTCCCCAAATACTGCATGCACAAGTTGTCCTGACAGTCCAATGTATGATGAGAGCCATCTTTTTGTTTTAACCTGCTAAATATTTGTTGTGGGATCATAGGACATGATGTCAAATTAATACCTTGGACAGATTACTCACATGGGATGTCAACCAAGGCCGTCGCTTTGTGTAATTAACTCCTAGGCCCCACTGTCATTCAGTGAACTCTGCAAGAGTTTGGCAGGGTTGCTTTTCCCCCCTGTGTGTTTTACATATTTTGCCTCTTTAAAATGGTGCACTGTGTTTTTGTTTTAGCTTCAATCTTGATGGCTAGAAATACGTTTCTGGGCTTCAGAGAGTGCTACAAGCTGCAACCCATGGAGTCCAAGGCTTACACCAGCCTTTGCCAACCTGGTGCCCTCCAGATGTTGGACTACAACTCCCATTAGCTGTCCTGGTGAGGGCTGATAGGAGCTGTAGTCCCAGCATTTGGAGGGCACTAGGCTGGATTAGCCTGTGGCATTATTATGGAGCAAGTATCTGAACACAGTCTTCTCTGGGCTTCAGTAAGGCAGGAAATCATAATGAATGGAGTAGAAACTGAAGTCTGGCCACACTCTAAGGAGTAACAGGCTGAAGAGTGGCAGCAGGAATTTTGAGGGAAGTGGAAGGTTGTCCTTGACCAACTGACCTCCGGGAAGATGTCACCCAAAGTTTCTGCCAGTTTGCATGTTGCAGAGTAAAGAGCTGCAGTACACAGTTTTTAAAAAAATGAAAATATATACATGCATTTCTTTATTCAGAGCCAACTGCTGTTCAGTCACTGTGCTTTTGCTTAGGTTAAGGGTAGGGATGTTCTTGGATGCCAGCTCCCATTGGCCCCAGCCAGCATGATCAATGGCATAGGTAGGCAAACTAAGGCCCGGGGGCCGGATCCGGCCCAATTGCCTTCTAAATCCGGCCCACAGACGGTCCAGGAATCAGCGTGTTTTTACATGAGTAGAATGTGTCCTTTTATTTAAAATGCATCTCTGGGTTATTTGTGGGGCCTGCCTGGTGTTTTTACATGAACAGAATGTGTCCTTTTATTTAAAATGCATCTCTGGGTTATTTGTGGGGCTTGGGAATTCGTTCATTCCCCCCCCCCCAAAAAAAAATAGTCCGGCTCCCCACAAGGTCTGAGGGACAGTGGATTAGCCCCCTGCTGAAAAAGTTTGCTGACCCCTGATCAGTGGTCAGGGATGATGAGTTCAGTAATATCTGGAGAGGCCATAGGCTCCCCACTCTAGTTTAGATCTTGCTTGGTAGAGGAATTGCACTTTATATTGAAGAACTTTAAATACTCTGTTTATTGTATTCCCCACCCCACCACCCAATTACTGCCTTAGGAGAGTCGTGACAAGCTCTTCCTGATCAGGAAGCTAACTGAAGCTCAGAGACTTAGCTGAGGTGCTTTTTCATGCCACTGCCTTTGGAGTCGTTTTTTTGGAGCTACTGTTTAGGGGATGCTAAAAAGAGAAGAAATCTAGTGCCTTGAGCCAAGTGACTTGGAACTTCATCCTTGGACCAGTTTAACTTGCAGTAGATGTGGGCCTCCTGCAGCTGTTCCAATATCTGTGTCCGGATACGGGGCTGGTGTGCATAAGTGAGTTGTTGATCAACTCAGGGAGCCATTTATCATGTTGACCTGTTAGGCTTTTCATTGAGCATGCACCCCGTTTATACAGGATTTCTGTATTTCTGTTTGTGCAGAATTGACTCTTAAAAATCGTGCTCAGAATCTCTACCATTGTAGAGGTCTTTGTGAGGTTGTATCTTTATTTTCAATGTTTACACTTTAAGCCTCTGTTTTTCCTGCGTGTTTTAAAACTGTTGTGAACTGCCTTCCCTGTCCTGACCAGGAAGCTCTTTGTAAAGGGTTCTCAGTGTTGTTTTCAATGCCATTCCTTTTTTTATTAAAAAAAATAATCAACTTTTATTTATCAGTTTTACTTAATAACATGTAAGTACATCATTCCTGATGGTAACTGCCTGGGTCTGTGCTGGTTCAGTCATATAGCAGAGTGTATGCAGAGAAATGTAGTCCTTCTAATCTTCTTTGATGGAGAGGCTTGGTTGATTACCTGTCCAGAACTTGGTATGTGCTTGAGGAAGGGAAGATACATTACCTGTCTTCAAGTACAACCCCCCCCCCAAAAAAAAATGTTAGGGCGATTATCTCTGCTGCCCCAAATCTTCCTGAAGACTTGGCTGGGTATAAACTAGGCATGTATTGTGCTTCAACCCAGAATCTGACTTCTGTTGATTTACTCTGCCAGATGGTTGGATTTTGCATACTAGATAAGAACGGCTTTGTGCTGAAGCCTATATACATGCCCCAACTATATACTTTCTTTCGTTTTAATTGCTGCTTTAGGAGAGCTGTGACAAACTCTTCCTAATCAAAAAGCCAATGGAACCTCAGAGGCATAGCTGTGAAGCTCTGCCCATAGGTGCCCATGGTTCATGCGGTCCATGGCCATCTATAGAAACCACTTAAATCCAGGGTTGGAAAGTTGTGGTCCTCCAGATGTTGTTAAGACTACAGCTCCCAACATCCCTGGCTGTTGGTCTTGCTGCGTGGGGCTGATGGGAATTGGAGTCCAACATCTGGAAGGCCACAGGTTCCTTACTCCTTCTGTATTCACTGGGTATAAATATAAGCGGCAGGGGACAGGAAAATGCTGATAGCATTATGCTTCAAAACGAACGTGTAGATGCTCAAGTCATTAAGTTGAAACAAAAAGATTTTTTTGGAATGAGATGGGGGTGGAAGAAAGGATATATTGAGGTAGGTTTGCAACTATATAGTTACTCAGAATCCTCAGAAACCTTGGTTTTTCAAATTGTAGAAGGGTCAGACTATCAGGTAACAGCCAGATCCTTGGCTGGAGTTAATTGCTGTGTTGAAATAGAAGCCAAGGGTTTGCTCATCTTTGGCCCTTATTAAGTAGCCATGTTTTCTCACTCTATTTCCATTTTGGATAAGCATTAATTGTTGCATTAAATGGCACACTTCAGAGGTACTTAAAAACAAACAAAGAAATATTATAAAAATGTTAATGTATATATTAATTAATGCTAATAAATATATTGCAGCTGCTTTATGGAGTGTTGGCTTTTATTTCTCTTTAACTACATTATTCAGCTTTGTCAAATCATATTACCCAAGGGTCAAGCTTTCAGCACAACATTAAAGCAACAACAGTTGGAACACTTCAAAATCATGTTTGCAAAACACAGGGCATAATCTGACCAAAGTTTAAAAACACTTAGTCTTCTTTCAAGGGGATAGCAGTATTTTGTCCTTATTTCTGAGCCTGGAGGAAGATTCTAGTCAGTCTAAAGTAGTGGTTCTCAGGGGGGGAAATTCTGAGCCACACTTTCAGAATAAAAATCTGCTTGTACCACACCAATTTTTTTATTGATAAGGAATACATTGGAAAACAAAAAGAAACAAATCCTAGCAGTGCTTGATTTATAACATACAACACAATTACTTTATAATATGACCGTGGGACGTTCATAAGATATTAAACAACACAGCTACATAAGAACTTGAATCATTCCCAAAATATAATTATAAATGAGTCTCTTACATATGTACCTTAAGTATGTTTTTTTAGAAAAGGTAAAGGACCCCTGGATGGTCACCTTTTACCTTAAGTATGCATACAAACTCAGAGGTGTGAACTTGCTTTTGCTGGGTAATCTTGATATTAGGTCTAATTTGAGACAAATTCATCTCCTCAACACAAGGAAGCCTTTCTCTTTTCTGATCTTTAATATTTGGAAGACCCTGTTCACAATAATATGTTGTAAAGAACTGTAGAAGAATAGCCAATGCTCTTGAAGAGAGACATGGATAGATATCCCCACCACCACCACCACCAAAAAAAAGAAGTTTTCTACTATGCTACTCTGAAATGTTTAAATGTTTCTTTGATTGTCCTTGAATCTTCCCGCAGTACTTGCCATCCTTTCCTGCCAAACCCCTTGAGAACCACCGGTCTTAAAAGAAGAACTTCACACAGTGCAGTGTTGAACTATCAGATTTGCTTCTGTTGAGAGTCATCCATTTAGATGGTTTTTAAAAAGGGAGGGAGATTCATAAAGGGTGATGCTGTCAGTGGTTTCTAGATGTGATGGCAATCTGCAGCCTCCCGGTTCAGAGGCAACATGCCACCGAGTACAAGTTGTTGGAAAACAATGGTTGTGTGAGGGCTGTTTTGCTCGTGTCCTTCTTGCAGTCTTCGTGAGAGGCATCTGTTGGTTACTGGGACTATACAGACCTTTGTTCTGATCCAGCAGGGCTCTTCTTAAAATAACAATTTCAAAATCTTTCAACACTGGGGATTAAACTGTCTTAAAAAATCAGAGCTCAGTCCCGTCGATTTCAAGAGTCTCTGGACATTATGGGCAGATTTTGTTTAGAGGTCAGTTCATCTTTCAATCTTTTAAGAAGATTCCCACAGTGGAAACAGGTTTTTCGTTTCAGGTGGGTGATTTTATCAGCTGTCAAGATTACAAAAATAAAACGGCAGTCTATTCATACCTGACGCAAGCGTCAGCCTGGGCAGACAGTCACTGAAATTGGAGAGGCATTGGGAGAAAAATGCATTTGAGATCTAAATGCTACTGATTTGATTTCCATGAACATAGCGAATAATGCATTAAACAATCACAAGCAGAGTGGTAAAGAGTGGTGGCTACCATGCCTTTTTTTATGACGAGGAAAGAGATGAGCCAACAATTAATGTGGTCCTCTTGGAGTTGGGGATCTGCTCTAAAATGACTGGGGGAAGTGAGAAAAATAAACTATTTGATTGACGCAGGTACCCTCAGTTCCATGATCCAAGTCTCTTCTCGTCTCAGTGGGAGAACTGAAGGGAGAGAAAGCAAAGATTACAAAATGGACTTAGACAGGGAGAAAATGACTGGCTAGGCCACGGGTCAGCAAACTTTTTCAGCAGTCCACTGTTCCTCAGACCTTATGGGGGGCCGGACTATATTAAGAAAAAGAAAAAAGAACTAATTCCTATGCCCCACAAATAACCCAGAGATGCATTTTAAATAAAAGGACACATTCTGCTCATGTAAAAACACGCTGATTCCCAGACCATCCGTGGGCTGGATTGAGAAGACGATTGGGCTGGATTTGGCCCCTGGGCCTTAGTTTGTCTACCCATGGGCTAGGCTATGATGTAGCTCAGATGGCAAAACTGTTATTCAGTGAAAGAAGGTGGAGCATCCTTGCACTAAACTAAAGGAAAATCAAACCCGACCAAAGCCACTCCCCTTGCTTTGCTCTATAGACTCTTCACCCAAACAAGGAAGTAAAACTGAAACATAATGTTAGGGTACATGGGGATTAAGGAAGCGAAACTGAGCATTAAGCTTAATTTGCAGGCGTGAGAGACACAACAAAAGTAACCTTACTACCCTTCACAGCAAGGAGCACTTTTTAAAAAGACCTTCTGAATGCTTCCTCTTCCCATCTGATCACTGCCCAGGAAAAAAAAGGTGGTGGGTTTTGTTTGGTACTGCCCTGCGTCCCTAAAATTAGCCATAGATCCCAAGTATTTAAAAGCCTTAAAGGTACTCCACTCTGAACCAAATAACACACATACAAACAACTACATGAGACCACATGTTATTCAAACATTACTCTTGAACCAGTGCATTCACCAGAAGCCAGTCCAAGCATGGTTTCCAGAATTCTGTAAGCTGAGCTTTGGCAGACATGCGTGGGGAGGGTATCTGTAAGTGGGAGGCAGCCACATAATGCTTTTCTGCACACTTTAATATACTGCACAGATGTGAACAAGAGGATGAGCTTTCTGACAACCTTAAGAGCTTTGGGGATGAAGTGCTTTCTCACATGTACAGGATTCATCGAATCATAGAAACTTAGAGTTGGAAGGGACCCCAAGGGTCATCCAGTCCAACCCGCTGCAGTGCAGAAATACCAGCTAAAGCATCCATGGCAGATTCAGTCTCTACTTCTTCCTTTGCTTTTACCCTGCCTGAATGGCCAGATGTTAATGGCAAGAAAGGGCTGCTAACTCATTAGTCATCCATATGTTGAATATAAGTGGGTGGCGGGAGAGTGGTGGTGGTTATTGCTAGGCATAATCTCTCTGGCCAAACTATGAAACCGTGATGTTACAGCACACCTGGAAACATCTAGATTAGAGTATCGTATTTTTAAAAATTCAAAATTGTCATTCGCCAACAGAATTAAAGTTTTCATACCTTGGCTTTTTGCTTTCTTGACGGAACCTATCTTGACATGTGGTGGTCTCTTCTGGCGTCACCTTCCGAAGTTTCTGAACAAGAAGTTCCATGCTAGGGTCAGTGTTGTTTTCCTCCTTGCTGTTTCTGTTCTAGGATTAAAAGCACATGTAGGTAACATTTAGGTAATAGGGAGATAACATAGATTTCTGTTGGAAATGATAGATTATCCCTAATTCAGATGTCAGGGCAGTTCCTATGGAGGAGATCTTCTGGCCCAGGGTTAAGAAGACTTCAGGCTCGCTGGAACTATTTTGTATTTTACACAGCCCCCAAGATCTAACAGCTAGAGCCAGGTGTGTGTAAATATGTGCACACAGTTCAGCAAAAGTATGTCTCTTTCACATGAAGTACGTATGTTGTGTAGCAGAGGTAAAATCTTTAAAAACAGGCACCTTGGATGAATTTTCACAATAAACGGGATGCACTGTTCTAGTGCATATAAATAGGTTGACAAACATATATTTAGCCCTGGAGAGAGAAGACTGAATGGGAACAGTAATCACCATCTATTTAAACTCTATAAAATTGCAGGAGGCAGCTGTTTACATCAGTGTCTGCCATAGATCAACATAATTAGATCTACTGCTTATGCTGTCCAGCTCTTATGTCATAGACCAGGGGCTGCCAACATCATGCCGTCCAGTTGTTGTTGGACTACAACTCCCATCAGCCCCAGCCAGCACAACCAATTGTCAAGGATGATGGGAGTTGTAGTCTATTGATAACGTGAGGGTCACGGGTTTCCCATCCCCTGTCCTGCAGCCAGTAATCACTGGAAAGCACTTCAGGCTGATACAAAAGTATTATTCATAATGATGTGGGGCTGCTGAGATACAATGTAATATGACAAGAGCCATACCCCAGATGTCCACTTTGACAAGTAACGTATGGTGGAAATGAATTTGTCTTGTGTCTTCTGCTTCTGCCCATCCTGAGCAAGACCTATCAAATACCCCTGAGGCAGCATCACTCTAGTTCACTGAGGGACATTTATATGGTGGATCTGATCTGCCTAGTGCCAATGACTGGTGTGGTTACCCACCACTACCAGGTAAACTCCTCAGAACAGGTGAGGATGCATCAGAAAGCCCTTTCCCCAAAACCTACTTGAATATGAAGATAGAGAATGAGCCGCAGCACTAGTAAGAGACAAATGGCAGATTGGCTCAGCACCTCTTGAGCTGCCCAATAAATCATAACCGATCTGCCCAATTTTAAAAGATGGGTTTGGCCTAATTAGGCAGCTTCCAATTTTGCTGAAAAGTAATGGGAAACCTCATTCCAGAAGCCAAGTAGAAGTCATTAAAGCACAACTTCAAATGCCTTACCATCTGTTCACATAGGCCAGTTAATGATCTGGCACTCAGGCTGCTAGAGGCAGATGAAATGGTGAATTCTTCTTCCGACTGCTCACTTTCCAGTCTTTCTAAAATAGTTGTGGTTTTGACAGGGGGTCCCAGACGTTGCTTTTCAGGAGCTTGACACACACAGTAACTCAGTAGTTCTGAACACCTGCAAGCACCTGGTGTCACTGATGGGAGAGGCATCATTTGCTTATCCCGGGACTCTCCTAAAGTAACATCCTGCATCTGTGTGGTATTGGCAGGGTCCTCAACGGCATAGCTGTACCCTTCTTCCTCTGAAGAGAAGAGCTGGTCTAAAAGATGGTGTGTACTTTGGTTTCTGACATTTCCATCTCTAGTCATAGACCTATTCATACTTAAACTTGGTCGTACATCTTCATCCATTTCCTGGCACACTTGATACAGAAAATGTGATTCACGCTGGACCACGGGGATATGGTCATTGTTCTGATCCTCTTGAAGACCTGTCACAATCCCAGTGGATACTTTGTTGGTGGCAATTGACTGAGTTGCATCTTCAGGGCTTCTTAGGTTTTGCCAGCTACAACTTTCCAAAGAAGGGTGTTCCCAAGCAGCGGTGCCAGGAATGGACTCCTCTTGAAGTGTTTGAAAATGAACCTGGCGGCATTCAGGGTTCCTTGATACTAAATCACACCACTTTTGCTCATTTTGAGGCCAGTCGTTTTCAGAGTTTTCCACAAGCTTGCTTTTCTGATCACCTTGGCTGTGTATTTGATTGCCTTGGCCTTTAAGAAACCACCCAGAAATCGGCGTGGGATCATATTGCTTCTGAGTCTTTTCTATGGACATTAAACTCTGGATACTTATCACTTCAGCGGTCGATTTTGCAGAATATTTTGTGCTGCGTCTTTTTTCTTCTCGATTACTCCTGGAACTCTGGATCGGTCTTGTATTCAAAAACTTGCTTGCTGGAGAGCTCTTAACTTTTGGCACTGTTTTAGTTGGTCCGAGAGATGACTCTTGCCTTTTGATTTTAAGTGGTTTATTGGAGGGTCCAGCAGAATTCTCTGCAATTTGCTGAGTGGGTGAAAAGTTCTTCCATTGAGCATTTGAATGCTTATCTTGATGTTCAGACATTGCTGAGGAGGTTCTGCTTCTAAGTATACCTTTCCTAAATGCTTCGTTTTGTCCAGTTTGCAAATATAGAGCTACGAATCTCCTATCATCTGAGCTTTTATCACTTGGTTTAGGTGGAATTTTCAAAAAAGGCCTGTTAGATTTCTTGGAGTTGTTGGAAGTGCTTGAAGTTTCAGATGATCTCTTCGCTTCTTTCCATTTTCCCCCTTCACGGTTTCGTTTAACCCTGAAAGACACCAGAAAATGAAAACATTGTAAAATCCCATTCACATTTTTTGAGAATGACTTCTTGAGAAGCCAGGAAATAAATTAGAAGATCAAAGGTGCATCCCAACAAAAAGAAGCAATCCTATATTAACATTACACTGAGGCCAGAAATAAGCCACTGCTATTCTGGTGTAATGGCCGCATATCCAATGATATTCAGCCCAGGAGGGGGAGAAACTCACAACCAGAACATATGATAAATATGCTTAAATGTATCAGATACATCCTTGGTGTCTCTAGAAACACCACCATAGCCCAATCAATCATTCCCCCTTCCCCAACACACAAAGGCAACCAATGAACTTGTGTCAAGGGCACCCCACATCCTTGCATCATTCCTCCTCTCTCACACACACAAGATAATGCCACAGTGCCCCACTCATCCCAGCAGTGCTAGAAGGTCAACTTTAGGTGTGAAGGGGGATGCTTGTGTTGCACAAAGTTGACACAAGTTCTTCATCAGAGTCAAAGCAAAATCTAGCATTCTAACCCTGCAGGTGGGTTAGGGACGCGGGTGGCGCTGTGGTCTAAACCACAGAGCCTAGGGCTTGCCGATTAGTAGGTCGGTGGTTCAAATCCCTGTGACGGGGTGAGCTCCCGTTGCTCGGTCCCAGCTCCTGCCAACCTAGCAGTTCGAAAGCATGTCAAAGTGCAAGTAAATAGGTACCACTCAGGCGGGAAGGTAAATGGCATTTCTGTGCGCTGCCCTGGTTCGCCAGAAGCGGCTTAGCCATGCTGGCCACATGACCCGGAAGTTGTCTGTGGACAAATGCCGGCTCCCTCGGCCTATAGAGCAAGATGAGCGTGCAACCCCAGAGTCGTCCGCGACTAGACCTAAAGGTTAGGGGTACCTTTACCTTAACCCCGCAGAAATGAGCAAATATCAACACTAATAAAACTGTAGGATCCCTTCATCATGTCACTTCAATGAAAAAGCCTAACAATCCCAGAGATGGCTCGTCCACTGCTAAAAGGAGGAGATGCCAGGGCAATTAGGCGCCCAGAGAAAACTGATCCATCAGCTGCAAGGGAAAGGAGGAGGTGGGAATACTTTTCTGAAAGACAAAAAGCAAACAGAAAGAAAGAAGATGGAATCTCAGGAGGATAGGAAGTATCATCGGGCATGTGAAATGGTTAGTCTAGGGATGGAGGAGACATTTGATTCAGTGTACATTTAAAGCACGATATGCAAACCAAAACACAGCCATCCTTTAAAATCTGCACTCAACCCTATTATGGGGTGCATTTCTCCAGCTAACCACTGTTTACCAAAATGTGGATAAAAATAGAGGTATTAGTGATAAAAACATGCACTATATTAGGGGAAATTGCTTGCAAAACTGCACATCAGTCATGTGAAATAAGTTTTTTAGGATAAATTTGCACTAGAATGCTGGTGAGTTTTCACGAGGATTTAAAAATAAAATAAATTAGCAAATTGCTGCAAGATGTGAATAACAAAATTTAAGTTTGGAAAAATGAGGAACTGGTAGAAATGGACAAATCCTCCCATCTCTGGGTTTGACTGTATGGAATTTGGGGCAAAGGTTTCTTTCAAGATGCCAACTGGCATGCCACCATGCTGCCGTACCTTCTTGCTTCATTTTTGTGAGAATGTGTGGAGGAAAGACCTGCCTTGCTGCCACTGTCCAAACATTGAATGTTTTTTGCTTCTTTTCTCTTTGAGGTTGAAAACCTTTCTTGGGTTGTTCCCATTTCTCTCGGAGAGGCTTCAGAAGTCTGGAGAGAGAGAGACTCAACATAAATTCTTGAGAAATATGTTTTTTATCCGTTGAGTTTGACAGAGAGATGTGTTCACAAAAGCTGTCTACTCTCAACTCTAGAAGTAAAACAGTAGCAGGATTATTGCTGGGAGATGTTTGCTAGATAGCTAAAAAGTCAGCTGACTTCTTTCCGTACGTAAAGAGCATAAAGGAACAGTGACAGATTTTAGGGGAAATGCTTAACAATTTTGTAAATGAGTGAAAGAGCGTGACTTGATACACACAGCAGCCACGATTAGCTTGGAAGCCGATGAAATGAGTCTCCGTACTTCTGGTGCCATACATGGAGTAGTAGTTATATGTAGTCTGGAGGGAGTAGTCTGCAGATTTTCCTGCCTGATGAAAAACAAAGGTACAGTTAATTAATGCCAAGAAAAATGCCGATATTTACAACAAGCAGGCCCAGCTCCAAGTTTTGGGGGTCCTGGGCTGCTGGGGTGCCTAGCTAAGATGATGGTGGCACATCTGAACAGAACTGGGGATCCCATACACAAACTCACTGCTGGAGCTGCTGGCTGCTCACTTGCTTACAAGTGGTGGCTCTGGAGAGGTGCTGAATGGAGCTGTGAGCCTTCACATGTGCAAACTCCCTGACAGGGACATAGGAATCTGCCTTACGCTGAATCAGACCATTGGTCCATCTATCTGAGTACTGTCTACACTAACTGGCAGCAGTTCCCCAGGGTTTCTGGCATGGATCTCTCCCAGCCATACCTGGAGATGCTGGAAGTGAACCCAGGATACCTTCTGCATGCAAATCAGATGCTCTATCACTGAGCTACACCCCTTCCCTGACGCCACTGGCTTAAATATGATGGTCTTTCTCCTGATGTGTGTATGTTGGGGGCAGCGTAATAAAGGTGGCAAAGCTGTAGAATCGGTGTATGCAGCTCATAACTCTGCTCAGTGCTGTCCCCAGCTGGCACTATGGGTGGGCAAGTGGCCAGCTAGCCACAGTACTGGGCCAGGCAGGTCTGCATTCCCTGCCTATTTCCCCCAAATGCCTGAGGCCCCCAATATAGCATTGCTACATTCAGAGGAATCGGTTGGGAATGAGAGTGACTATTTCTACAACACCTAAGCCTGTGCTTCTCTCTTCAGTACTGAATCCTAAATCTCGGCCCCTGTTAAATTAAAAATCCTGACATTAGTGTTGGGGATTCCCAGTATTTACCCAAGCATGCCGGGTGCTGGCGCTGGGCCTGACTGCAAGACCAACAGCTTTCAACAGGAAAGACTGGACACAATTATACACTGTCATCTCAAAATGACAAAACCATAGGATCCAGCTGCCATTTTGTACAAGCAGGGGCTGCATCCCAGTTTGGTTCAACCAGCAGCTGTGGTTGTGTGAACCCCAAATCCACTGTCAGTAGCTCAAAGACACAGCACATGTGTGGCAGCTGCAGTGGGGTGGTTGAGTGTGTTAATGCAATAGGTTTTCTTTCATACACTCAACTACTATAATTTCAGGGAGAAAATAATTTGAGATTGTTCTTGGGTGTACATTTGCATTATAGCATTCTAGCAATCAGCGGGGCAGCAAGAGCTTCTGCTGACCATTAGGCAACAATTAGACAGCAATAGGTTTTACCTTTTTGTACTTTTTGCTTTGCCCTCGTTTGTTCTATCAGGTATGTAATCCTACAAATAAAGATGCAGACGATGTTACTAACTTGTCTAATGCAAGTCAAAACGCTAGATGCTTTGGGAGCCTAGAAAACCACCCAGTTGCACTGTATCTCTTTCCATAATGAATCCCGATTTTGCAACGATGCAAAGGCCTGCAGCAAAGGAGCCGAGTCCTGGGGAGCAAAATTAGTAGGCAGCAGAGGATGAGTTCTGCTACAGTCAATTTATTTCACTGTTAACTTGTATGTCATATTTGTTATTATAGTCGTATTTGTTTTATCACTCTCTGTTTTTGTTTTTAAGCCTTCTCAGCAGCTGTCTCTTGGTAGCCACTGTTTTATTTTCACAAAATGCCCTGGACATAAGTCAGAGGAGGGAGAAGTAATGGCCTTGATCACAACAGAAAGCCACGCTCCCTCATCCCACCCCTTTCTTCAAAGGAGCTCAAGATGGCATACACAGTTTCCCCCCTCCCATTTCATCCTTGCAACAGCCCTATGAAGGTGGTTAAGCAGAGAGAGAGCAATTGGCTCAAGATCACTCAGTAAGCTTCAGGAATGAGTGGAGATTTGAATCGAGATCTCCCCTGTCTTAGCCTACCACTCAGATGCTCCACCATACAGGCAGGGAACTGCCTTGTTCTGTGGGAAGAAGGAAGCGGAGGAGGCACGCAATCCTGAGATGTGTAATGTCAAACTGCAGTTTGGTGTTATTATTTATTAAATTTAAATCCCAAAGGAGCCCACGGCAGCAAACAACAAGTGACAAAACAATGAAAGCATTTTAAAAACAATTCCAATATAGATGATGGCTGGAAAAGTTCTCGCTTAAAAGGTTTGTGGGAAGAGGAAGGTCTTCAGTAGGTGACAACAAAGACAGCTCCTGTCTAATACTGAACAGGGGGAATTCAAAAGGGCAGGTACCATGGCACTGAAGGTTGAATTCCTATATTGTGCAGAACAGAACTTGTGAAAAAATGGTATCTGCAGAGGGCCTGCAGAGCACAGTGACCAACTGGGTATATAAGGAGAGAGATGATCTTTCAGATATCTTGGTCCTAGGCTGTATAGGGCTTTATACACCAAAACCAGTGCTCTGAACTTATTATGTGTGAACACACCCACTGGCTGGGTACACACTGCTATTTCCCATATGATGGCTCTACCACCATACATAGCAGATGATTCCCCAAACATGAAATGATATGTATTAAAAAGGTGGTATGCATAAAGAAATAGAGAAGAGTGATTCTAAATATTACTTGTGCCATCTTTTTAATAAGCTTTTCCAAATCCTTTTGCTTTTCTGGGCTTTTCTGCAATTTTCTGTTGCATTCTTCGGTGCTCCCCATAAAGGCACGTAAGGATGCTTCCAATTTAATCTCAGCAAAATTATGTTCCAGCTCCCGGTTTTCCTTCTGCTTCATCAAAAATGCTGGATGCTGCAAGACCAGTAAAAATGAAGATTCTTAGAAAACTATTTAGATTGGGGAATCTTGAGAAACTCTACAAGAAAGCTAATAGGCTCAAAACTACAATACACAAAACTAGTTTTTGTGTGTGCGTATTCAACATAAAAACCCACTTTTCTATATGCAAATGTTAAAATACTCAATCATAAAAAAGAAAAAAATCCAATGCATCTCACTGGTATTGCAAATACCACTCAAAATCTATAAATTTGGGCTGCAATCCTAAACACACGTTTGGATATACGATAAATCCCATTGAACTCAGTGGGACTACATCCATATAGGATAGAGTGGCGGGGGCAACCCATCCAGATGGACATGGCTAGGATGGCAAGGCACGAGGGTCAAGTTTGCTACCATGATAATTACCATCAAGCCCAGATGCAGCATAACAACCCAGCAAAGACCAAATGGGGAGAGGCTAACAATCAGCCACCACATGATAAGTTACAACAGGAGTAGGCAGAAGGTAGATCTACTAATGAACAGTTTCTGGTGGGCTAATTAGTGCTAGAATAGTACCCTCCAGATTTTGTTGGACTTAAACTCCCTTCATACTGGGATTGCCACCCCCAAGCCTGGTTGCAGGTGAGAAGATAGGAAGGTGGGGAGCTGGCTGAGGTTAGTGGGCCAGTGCCCCCCTTTCCCAGTCTTCATTGTGCGCAACAGATGTGATTTTGAAACCCACACATACGTTAACAAATATTTACCAAATGCAAACTTTCAGTCTCATCATGGATGACTCCAGATGAATCAAAGGAATCTTCTTTTCTTTGTACATCAACATAATACTTTCTAAATGAGGAAAAACACATTTTTTTCCTTATTTTTTTAAAAAAAGCATAATTGCCATCTGGCTATGCTGCTCCCTTTGCCATCATAACATTCAAAATCACAAAGCTATCGTGAAGAGTTTGGGAGTGTCAAGATGCTTCTACGTTCCTGTCTAATTTTGCAGTACAAATTTAGCATTTAAAGATCATGTATTGGTCTGAGATGATGGTTGAAGCGTTGCCAAGCAGGATGGAAAGGGCAGATCTCCAAGGCAGCAATCCTACACATACTAGGCATAAGTTCCATTTTCATATGACTGTGCTGTGAAGTACCTGTCTAGGTAGTAGGGAATGAGGATGGGGCCATTGCCCTGAACATATTTTATAAGATCAGACAGCTGTATACTGCAAGCCAAATGTCTGTTCAATCTTGTGCTGTGTGGCTTTATAACTAGGGTTGCTAGATCTTAATTTAAAAAACATTGATAATAATTTAAAATTAACATTTATCAGTCCCTGATGGTCACTGCTAAGTGGATGCATTTAGTGTGCTTGTGGGTTTTCACTCCCATCATGGGAGTGATGGTGAGACCCAGTGTGGCACAGTGATTAGAGCGCTGAGAGACCAGGGTTCGAATCCCCATTTGGCCATGAAGCTCACTGTGTGACTTTGGACCAGTCGCTGCCTGTCAGCCTAATCTACCTCACAGGGTCACTGTGAGGAAAAATGAAAGAAATAAGGATGTATGCTGCCTCTTGAGCTCTTTGTAGAAAGGGTGGCATGTAAGTGTAATAATAAATAAATATATTTATTATGTTAAGAATTTGGGTGTAATCCTTGACGCCTCCCTTTCCATGGAGGCACAAGTTACAGCAACAGCCAAGGCGACATTTTTCCACCTTCGCCGCATCAAGCAGTTGGTCCCTTACCTTTCCCACCCCAACCTGGCCACAGTGATCCATGCGACGGTCATCTCCAGGCTTGACTACTGTAATTCACTCTACGCAGGGCTGCCCTTGAAGCTGACCCAGAAACTCCAGAGGGTCAGAATGCTGCAGCGAGGCTCCTCACGGGGTCTCTGCCATGGGAGCATATTCACCCAGTGCTTTTCAAACTGCACTGGCTCCCGGTAGAGTACAGGGTCAGATTTAAGGTGCTGCTTTTGACCTTTAAAGCCCTTCACGGCCTAGGACCCTCGTACCTACGGGACCGCCTCTCTTGGTATGCCCCACGGAGAGCCTCAAGGTCCATAAATAGCAACACCCTAGTGGTCCCAGGCCCTAAGGAAGTTAGATTGGCTTCCACCAGAGCCAGGGCCTTTTCAACTCTGGCTCCGGCCTGGTGGAACGCTCTGCCTCATGAGACCAGGGCCCTGCAGGATCTGATTTCTTTCCGCAGAGCCTGTAAGACAGAGTTGTTCCGCCTGGCCTTTGGCTTGGAGCCAATTTGATTCCCTCCCTCTCTTTCTTTTTTCCTTTCCTTCTCCTCCTCCGATGAGGCTAAATTTTAATATTTCAATATTTTAATGTTGTATTTTAATTTTGTTTTTAAGTTGTAATCATTCAACTTGTTTTTATTATTGCTTGTAAGCCGCTCTGAGCCCGGCCTTGGCTGGGGAGGGTGGGGTATAAATAAAAATTATTATTATTATATTAAGCTGTTGTGTGCTCTGTACTGTTACGGTAATGTCAAAGTCCTTTTGTATTTATTAATTAAATTTATATACCGCTTGACTCTAAAGAAAAACCCACAAGGCAGATTACAGAAAACTGTATAATTATGTACGTTGCTGGTGTCATAGGTATATATTATTAATATAATAACAATAATGCATCTATATTCTGCCTTTTTTTTCCTGGCAGGGACTCAAGGAGGCTTACCGATAAAATAACAGCAGTGAAAAACATTGGGGGGTTGTGGACCCATTAACAAGCAATTACAGATTAATAGAATTAAAGCGCGCGCGCACACACACACACACTTACGAATTACATTTCTGCCCCCGTTTCCCAGCCACTGAAGCGCGCGCACACACATACACGCTCCTTACAGCCTGTGGGCCACCGAGCGGGCCAGTCCCCGGGGGGACACGGAGCCCCCCAGCAGCGCCGCCATCGCTTCAGCCCTCAGCCCCGGGAAGGCGTTCTGTGGTCGCCATGACAACCTGAGGAGGACGCGCCTCCCGAGGAATTGGCGGTCGCTTTCCTCCAATGGGGGAAAGGGAAAGGGGAGCGAGGGCGGGAACCAAAGTACACAGAGGGGAACACAGAGATACGAAAGTGCAGAGCTTCCACGCCGCGCGCGCGCGCGCAGGTAGGTAGGTACGTGCGTGCGTGGGTAGGAACAGGAGTGAATAAAGCGAAATGTCTGTAATGGGCTGTCAGTTTCTCTCTCCGCTCGGCGGCAGGCAGAATAAAAGTTAGAAAGGAACCCGGAAAGCTGCAACTTTCTGTAACTCTACATCATTATCTATGGGGACAAAGCAATGTTGTATAATGGCTGGGAACGCGAAGGCGACTTTGGTCTGTCTTTCGTTGCTAGAGTGGGCGCGGTTGGGCAGGCCGATGGCTGCAACGTCATCAGTCCGCGCCAGGCACCCGTGGGCGGGAGGATGGCGGCGGGGCTGCAGCTGCTGCGAGCTGAGTGCTGGAGGTCCCTTTGCAGGGAAGGTAGGGCGGGAGGGCGCCCTTGACGCAGCCGCCCCTCTCCCGGGATGTTCTCCTTCATTCCTCCCCGGTGCTCCTTGCCGCCCTCTAAACGTCCTCCCCCCCCCATCCGCCCTGCCCTTTTCAGTCCCCTTGACACACCCTCGTTCGTCGCAATGGGTGGCGGTGAGGGGAAGGCGCTCTGTGTACGCTCAGAGGCACGCTCGGCCATAGCTGCATGATTTAGATCTTACTCCTTCAGGATGCAGTCAGGTCTCTGCAGCAGCTAAAAGAATAGTATGCTGCAACAATAATATTTAACGCGTTATAACTCTCGTATTTTAACTTAGTAAAATAGTATTGTTATTAATGATATACTCACTGCTTTTTTCTGGGGGGGGGGCGAATACACCTAAACATTTTGTGAATCTTTGTACTTTGGTCCATTTACTGTATTAATTTTTCCCCATTTGAACTATAAAATGGTGATTTTCTGGAATCAAAATGAGAGTACCCCTAAACATTTTTTTAAAAAGAAAAAAGCACCGGATATACTTAAATCTCATTATTAGTAATACTAAATATTATATTTTCAGATTATTATTATTATTTTTTTACAAATAATAAGAATGCTAATAATTTATTAAGCAACAAGAAGGACCAAGTGGACAGTTCTCCCAGTGAAGGGATGTACAAAGACGAGTCTCCCGAAGGTCCAAAGCTGTTGTTATTATGAAGGCTGTCATCCCGATAAAGAAGTCTTCCTTCATTAATTGAAGGAGTGTTAGTTAATGCTTTTTCTATAAATTCATAGAAGGAACTACATTCTTAAAATCAACTCCGTTTTTACAAAATTATGTGCGAAACATTGCAACAGGCACTAGCCTTGAGGGTGTTTCTCTTTTGCTGCTCAGAGGGAAATGCTTCTTTTAAGAACACCTTTTCCACCTGCAGTTTTTATAATTAGTAATAATAATTTAATTCCCTGGAAAACCCCTTCCAATTTAAAGTGATTTTATGTCCTTTTTAGTTGATTTAATTGAAAGACTAACATCACAGCTGTACTTATTACTAAGTAGTAAAAACTTCCTGGCTGCCCTCCTCCCTCCCCATTGTTAGTGAATAGTGACAGGATTCTTGTTCTGACTTTTTTCTGATAAATAAAATGTGTGTTTTTACAGGTGGAAGAAGAAGATGGCATTTGTCATCCTTGCACTCACCTTACAGATGCTGTAGTACTGGAACGACTTATGAAAACATCAATAAGCCAGTTGTTGACCGTATAATCAGAGTGGATCATGCTGGGGAATATGGGGCGAACCGCATTTATGCAGGACAAATGGCAGTGCTGGGGAGAACTTCAGTAGGACCAGTTATAAGGGTGACTATTTCTAACCTATACCTGTATCTTTTTCTCCAATGCTTCTTGTGCTTTAATTAATAATTTATACAATTTATTGCCCGCTGTTCTTCACCCTAAGGTCCCAGGGTGGGTTACAGTAATTAAAACAGAACATTAATATTAAAATACAATATGAAAAAATGTAAATGAAGGCCACCAGATATTATGAATACAACAATTCTGATTGCACACCACTTAGAATCTATAGTATTTAGTAACACACCTGCTCACTCTTGACTTTTGATACGATGCATATTTTTAAGACCCACTAAATTTTTGTAATTTTAAGTTGTTTCAAACTGTTTTTCCTATCTGTTTTGATCCTGATATGGAGGGTTCCTCAACCCATTGTTTGCCAATTCAGACATAACTGCAAACAGTGGTTTGGTTGTGAGGCAGGCATGTGAGGAAAGGAGGATGCTTATGGTCATGGGCTTTATTCTCAGTCCTCCAAACCATGGTTTAGAGTACAGTGGTACCTTGGTTGCCAGACTTAATCCATTCTAGGAGTCCATTCGACTCCTGGAACCGTTCGAAAACCAAGGCGTGGCTTCCGATTGGCTGCAGGAGCTTCCTGCACTCAAGCGGAAGCCGTGTTGGATGCTTGGCTTCCAAAAAACGTTCGCAAACTGGAACACTTGCTTCCAGATTTGCGGCATTCGGGAGCCAATTTGTTCAGGAGCCAAGCCGTTCGACAACCAAGGTACCAGTGTATTGGAGAAGTTGCATCAGAATGCAACAATAATGAAATAGTGTTGAAAATGACAGCAGCGCTCTTAAATCTATAATGTATCCTGAAGGCTGATACTGGGGAAGATTTTCCTTCCATGTTACTGCAGATGTCTTGCTGAATGCCATTTTTTTAATGCAGAAAATGTGGGATCAGGAAAAGGACCATTTGAAAAAGTTCAATGAGTTAATGATCTTGTACAGAGTCCGGCCAACCATTCTGTTGCCTTTCTGGAACATTGCGGGATATATGTTAGGTGAGGCTAAACCTTTTCCCTCTTTCACGTTTTCTTCTTCATTTTTAATTCATATACATATATGGGGCACACGTTTTATTTCAATGACTCTGCAACAGGTGCTGGAACTGCCTTGCTTGGAAGAAAAGGTGCAATGGCTTGCACTGTGGCTGTAGAGGAGAGCATATCTCACCATTATAACAACCAGATCAGGACACTTGTGGAAGAGGATCCAGAAAAATACAAAGAATTATTAGAGGTGTGTTTTAATCCATGGTTGTCTAGTTTTACAGTTAAAGCTCCAAGGGCTCAAGTGTAAAATAGGCATTTTTAAAACAAACATTTGGGCTAACTTTTGAAGGGTGACGGGAGGGTCACAAAATCCGGTGAGTTCCGGCTGGAAAAAAAGCCCTGGTGCTGAGAGCTGTTAGGAGATTCCCATTTCCTTCACAAAGTTACAGTTCCTTGAGTGGTTTGACAGTCAATCCCTCTTTCCCAGGGAACTCTGGGAATTGTAGCTCTGTGAGGGGAAGAGCAGTCTCCTAACAACTCATGGCACAATCAGCAAACTACAGTTCCCAGATTCTTTGGGGGAAGCCATGACCTTTTAAAGTGGTATGGTGCTGTTTTAAATGTGTAGTTCAGATGGGGCCTTACTTATGTTCATTAGCTTCAGTGGGTCTACTCTTGAGTTGGGCTTACGGGCTACAACCCTGGGTGTTCTGGCATCTCTGTTGACTTGCATGTAAGCCAGTCAGCTATTCATCTGGTATGTTTTTGTTTTTAAACAAGGTAATAAAGAAATTCAGGGATGAGGAGATGGAGCATCACGACATTGGACTTGATCATGACGCAGAACTGGTAGGTGCCAATCGTTAACTCCCCAGGCTTTCCATCATGGCTGGTTTTAGCACCTGGAATCCATGTTAGTGGATGGTTCCTCATCACCCCGGCATGGCTCACCACAGATGGCAGTCCTGGGTCCACACATGGATAAATAACTGGGGCTGTGAGCCACCCAATGTTTTAATTACCCCCAAGGTAGCATCGCTCCAGGTTACTCTCAGAAATTTTAACAGAAAGGCCACCATTTAAATTCCCCAGAATGCCATTGAATCATGCTTATGTTGAGGCCAATGTTAACTTTTAAATGGAGGACAGGTCTTGCCTCTCCCCAGTGAAGCCCCCAAGACTGCAGGGAGTTTCCCAGAGGGCACTTTGATTGGGTTTCGGTTTGCAAACCTGGATCTGAATCTATTAATGATTTCAGCGCAGTGATGTCAAATACGGAAACTAGGTCTGGCTAGTGGACCAATGGACCAATGGTTTAACTCTATATAAGGCGGTTTCATAACTACCGTATTTTTCTGTCTATAGGACGCCCCCATGTATAAGGACCCCCCTTATTTTGGGGGGACTCAATTTTAAGAAACTGAGGGGAGATGGCCCAAAGTTGTGGAGCCTCTCCCTGCAGGCAGCTGCGGGTAGGAAGCATTCCCTAGATCGTTTCCTGCCTGCAGTGGCATCGGGGGAAGTTGTGCTCCTGCCAACAAGCTGGCTGGTGGTGTGAAGTTTCTCCTCCCCCCACGCAGCTGCGGGCAGGACCCCCCCCCAGATCAAGCGCCATTGGGGGAAGCCGTACTCCTGTCAACCAAATGGCTGGCGCGCCCTGCTTCTCCCCCCCCCAAGCCACTATCCGTGTATTGGACGATCCCAGTTTTTTGACGTAATTTTTGAGTCAAAAAACCTCGTCCAATACACGGAAAAATACGGTACTTAGTATATGGTCTCTTGGGTGACAGTTTTGGAGTTTCTACGGTGGCACAAGACTGAATTATTCAAACTAAGCTACAAAGTATATTAAATGTCCCCTCTCTCTCTCTCTCTTCTATAGGCTCCAGCGTATTCCATTTTGAAGAATGCTATACAAATGGGATGTAAAGCTGCAATTTTTTTATCGGAAAGAATATAGAGAAGTTTTGTGCAATAGTATAATAACAGTTTTGAATAAATGGATTATTATAGCATCATTCAAATAATATAAAAGTAAAATCACACAGTGGTGCATCTTTTTTCTTCCTGTTCTGTTCATACAAGCTATCTTCTAGTGCTTATAGCAGCACCAAAAAACAAACAAACCCTAGGGTTGATGGGATGGCATGATACCTTGAGTAAATAATTATAGTTTGATCTTTCACTTGGTAAGAATAATAATTATATCTACACATAAGATAGGTAACTGCATTTTAAATGTAAGTGAAAAGAAGGTGTAAACATTCACAGCATATATGTGGTAGTATAGAATACACGTACCATTGTAGCGATCTAGATCCTTATCAGGATCAGATTCGACTTGTCAAAATCCCTTTTCCCTCTGGTTGTAAAAGGGAAGCAGGAGAAGGCTTCCAAAAGCTTTTGCAGATCCAGCCCCCTCCCCACTACTTAAGATCAGGGACTTAAAGTGTGGAGACTTGCAGAGGCTTTTGCAAGCCTCCTCCCTCTTTCCTTTTAAGTTCCTGGTTCTTAAAAGGGAAGATGGAAGCAGCTTTCAGAACTTTGTGAGTTTCCCCCATCCCCCTTACATCTCCAGTCCTGTACCAATCTCATTCCAGTCTTTAATCAGCTGATGAATGAGCAGAAATTGAATTCTGCTTCCCAGGCTACATAAACAGACAGTGCATCCAATGGAGGATTAAATTGGGTTGGCCTGCCCATCAGCTGATGTCACCGGTGATGTCAGTTGATGGATGGGTGTGGTTTGAGGGGGGCCAATAGCCCATGTGCTTGAGGCTCCTCACCCCTGCAATAGTTGGAGGGAAATAAAACAAGCATTGCTTCCTACTATGATGTCAACTATTCATGTTGGCTACATTTGATTGAAATTAAGTCTCATTGAAACCAGCGCTGAGGAATCAGGTTTAGGATTGAGGTGCAAATTATGTTGCAGTTGTGGGATGTGCGTGTCTTCATTCCAAGTAGGGAAGAAAATGTCATTTAAATATTTTTACCAGGAGTTTAAAGTGACCGCAAGCAGCTTTGTTTGTGCAAGGCCCCTGCTTTGGGAAAGGTCAAGTGACTGCGAAGAAAGCCATGCTGGACATGTGTCGAGTACACCCACCCAATGGCCTCTGATATGATGAGGGATGGGCAAGCAAAAAAAATAATGCTTTTCTATTTTGGAGTTAGGTCCCACCCACACTGTACAGTTAAAGCACTCTTACTACTTTAGGAATCATGGATTCCAACCCCTCCCCCCAAAAAAGAATTGTGGGAACTGTAGTTTAAGCATGCTGAGAATTGTTAGGAGACCTCTAACTAGTTGCTCCATTCCTAGCAGTCTTTGGGGAGAACCATGACTCACAATACTACAAGTGTGCTTTAAATGTATGGCGTGACTCTGACTTTATTTGCCACTACGTCCCAGTCCTTATTAACACATGGCTTCCGTTTTCATTTTGCTTCTTCCTGCCATAAGCGGCAATTGATTAACGTAATATGGTGGAGAGATCACACCAGGCATAGGCAAACTCCGGCCCTCCAGATGTTTGGGACTACAATTCCCATCATCCCCGACCACTGGTTCTGTTAGCTAAGGATGATGGCAATTATAGTCCCAAACATCTGGAGGGCCAGAGTTTGCCTATGCCTAGATCACACAATGCCTGCTGGGCTAAATATTACCAACATGCCATCCATTTGGCTCTTGGTTTTAGGCCTTTCCAATGGTCTTTCGCCTTGTTCCCACTTGGATGTACTTTGAGAGATTTTCATCTGGGCTCCAGAAAGGCGCCTGTGAGGCTGGTGCTTTGATGCAGAGATCATCCTACGTGTTCTCCCCGCCCCCCTTTCCTCTTCACCATTAGCACTCCTACCCTCTGACAGTGTCCCAGATTTCTTGGAATTCTCTGCTAGACTCTTCACAGACAAGTCATGTGTTTGGCAGAAGTTTGTGTGCTGTTCTTATTCCTCCTCTGTTCTGGGAGCTGTCAGGAACAAGGCATTGAGTCAAGTGCCTTTCCTGGAGGGTGTCAGCTTACAAACGGCAAGGAATGGGAAGTTTTGGGATGCAGTTACTGTACTGCCCCTATTCAGGTGTTCATCTCCCGGCTGGCGTTCCCATAAGCCACCCATCTGCAGTGGGTGCAGAGGCTGCTCACCCCATCGGCTCCCAGTCTAATGAAGACAGTATGAGGTAGCCACCCTACACAAAGGGAACGGATCTATCAATTTCAGTTTCTCATTTTCCCAGTCTTAAATTCAGTTCAGTACATTTCTGCAGCAATACGCATTAAAAAATCCAAAAAACCTGCATGAAAGTTGTATTTCAGTGTGGATTTCTCCCAACATTTTTTTGTATGAAGTGTTGCCTAATGCACACATTTCTGCAAACCAATTTCCCCTCATGTAGTGCATTTTTATATATAGTTTTTGTTGATATGTGAAAATTTATGTATATGTACAACTTTCGTTAAAATTTAAATGAATCTTCCCCACCAAATCCCTAGGTAGTAAAGTAAAAGTAACCTTTTAACACATTGAGGATGACCGTATGTGTGATGAGATATTGAACTAGTGTTATTCCTACTGTTGCTCACCTGCTTATTTAACTCAAAAAACACTTGTCCATCTAGAGTCATTATTGTATTGTGGGATTGTCCAACACAAATTAAACTCTTGGCCACACCTCAGTTCATTATTGTAGTGGCATCTGCTTCTGATGGTTCCTTCGGCATGCCAATGAAGATTGTCAAGACCATCCCATGTTCAGAACAAAAATGCCAGTTTCCTAATGTTTCCACTTATGACAACAAAACTTCCCCTCCTGAACACTTTCCAGCTGAATTTACTTCTCTCCACTCCAGATGTTGGGAACTTTCGGCCCTCCGGTTGTTGCTGAATTATAACTCCCATCAGCCCCAGGAAGCATGGCCAATGGGCCTGGGGATGGTGGGAGTTGTAGTTCAGCAACACCTGGTGGGCCAAAGGTTTTCCACACCTGTACTGCAGCTCTTTGGTGTTTTCTCTGGCCGGAATTGAACCTATTGTTGCTAACAGCTCACTTTTATATCTTCACATTCATCAAAGCTGACGTCTTGCGCTCTTTGCACTGGGAAGAATTTAATTCTTGTATGCCTGTCAGTGTGACTGCGAGTACGCTCTGAACCTTGCCAGTTTTCTTGTCAGGGCTGCAAGATCTATTACAGGTCTGATTCCTTCCTTTGACATCTCTTTCCTTTGGACGTTCCTGTTCTGTCACATTTCAGTGAGAAAACACATTTCTCTTACTTCCAACCTTGCCCTCGGGATCCTGAGGGTGCCTTCTTTGCAGACACACTTTAGCAACGCTTTGGTGCAATAGATAATCTCTTCAGCTGACATACAGTATTGCTTTGCTTAAAAGTCACTGCCTTCACCTTGACTGGAATCTCCTTTTCCTCCACTTTGGGCAGGTAATGCTTTGTCTTGTCCTTGTAAATATCCCTAAATTGCTCCCCCTTTTTCGTGCTTCTGATTACTGAACTAAGGCAGATTCATAAATGAATAATCACTGTGTAATAGGTAAAAACTATTGAATCCTATGGAGTAAGGACCATTGATACAGGATGACCATGTAACATAGAAGCAAAAAAACCACTTTGTTTTACGTTCGGCTTTTAAATTTTTTTTACTGTTGGGTGTCTGATGATGAATTTGGCAGTTTAAAATATGCTTTAAAAACCCTGACTGATGCACACTAGTGTTATAGGTTAGTGCGGAATAGGGATTCCCCCAGATCTTTGGGTGCCAGGTTTCCCCCTCTCGATTCTTGGGTTGCTGGGGTTTGAACCAGAGCTTTGATAATTAAGGTGAGATGACATGCTGAACTTCTTTTCTTTCCAAACAGAGGGGCAGAGGGAGATAATGGCCCTGCCATTAACCCATTGCAAAAGCCATCTACTAGACAAAACTCCCTATTGTCTCCCTCCCAAGAAGGAGATTGCCAGGGCAAGGGTGTGTGTGTGTGGTGCCACTCAGGAAAAAAGTTGTCCTTTTACACACAGGATTTTATGGCAGCTTGGTGTTCTGGGAACAAAGGGGAGGAAGTAGGAATAACTCCATGCAGATGCACACAGAGATGGCATTCAAGGGTGCCTTGGAAATCCAGTGCTGCCCTGCTGGAGGAATAAGCCCCTCTTGAGATGTAATGCTCTGAACTCCCTCCATCGAAGGCTTTAACTATAAAAATGTGCACATAAACCATATTTCTCTGCTGTGCCTTAATTTCTCAATGGAAACACAACCCTGGGTGAGTGCCTGGAACCCCCTGGAATTCTGTTACCAGTCAGCAGAGATTGGGGATGGTGGACAACCTTTATAAGACGTTTGTTTGTTTGTTTGTTTATCCATCCCAACTTTTGCCCAGAAACAGGACTCAAGGTGGTTTGCAAAAATTAAAATACAGATAAATCCATATAAAAGGTTATTGTTAAAATGTAATTAACTACCTGCAGATTTAAACTAATGTTATTTTATTTAAGTAAATAGTTTTCCTTCCTTCCTTCCCTCTTTTAAATAGCTGTCAATCTTAGGAACTTATTCTCTTATCTCTTCTGAATGGATGAAGCCTCTGAGCCATCAGGAGAGCAAAAAGCATTCAGCCAATGGACTCATGGCTGGACTTTGGTGCAGAAGTCCCGGCCCCCATTCAGTACAATGAGCAGCATGCGCCCCTAAAAACAACAACACCCCACATACTTACCACATTTTGGAGTAATACTAATTACCATTGGAAGATGGAAGCTGCCAGGCTGTTAAGTCCAGAGTCTAAAACAAGAATGTGTGAACCAGATGTGACTGGACTCCTGCTCCCATCATCCCTGGCAAATATGCCCAAAGGCCAGGGTTGATGGGAGCTGTAGTTCAGCAACATCTGGCGAGCCAGCGGTTCCCCCTCCCACTCTTGGACTACCAGCTCTGATTTCACATCCACCCACCATCCCAGTCTTTGTGTTATTTCCTCCCTGAGCTCATAGAATAAGTGACGCGAAAAAGTTCCTCTTTCCCACTCGGAAGAGGAAGCTTCAAAAGCCCCATTCCTCCCCCCTTAAGTAACGGTCTGCGGGAAGGGCTGGAGAGGGGAAGAGGCTTTGGAGGAGGAGGCCACTTTGGCGCGCGCTCCCCCAGCATAGTCCCGGGACAGTAAAAACTGGAGAGGAGGAGGAGGCGGCGGCAACGAGACAGGAAACCGCAAAGGAAAGCCGTCCTCTAGGCAGAAAGTTTCAGCCAAGGGAGTTTGGAGAGGACGAGAGAGAGAGGGAAACGCGGGGAACCCGAGATCTGATTCCAGGAACGGGGAAGCTCAGCTTCCAAAGTATTTCTTAGCCCATTTCAGAGGCGGCTGGATCCCAGCGCACCAGCAGATCGGAGATCTACCGCGCCGGGGGAGGAGGAAGAGGCCGCCCAAGTGTTGTCGGCTGTTGCCGGGAGGAAGGAGGCGGGGGTACCGGCTGCTGCGCCCGGGGCCCTGCATCGCGCGTCCCGGTGGACGGGAAAGGATCGCTGGGTAACGAATGACCTCCTCCCGATCCGCTACAATGGCCTGAAGAGATTTCACTTAAAAACAGAGAACCGTGGCGCTCTCTTGACTACCAGCACCGCTTGAGTGCCATGCCCTCTGTGCGCGCTCAGAGGCACCCTTTGCGCCGCAGGCTTCGCGACTGAACTTTCCCGGCGCGCAACGAGGCGCCATGACCGCCTACAGACTCAACTTGCGCGTCTTCTGGCCGCTGGTGACGTGCGGCTGCACCGCGATCCTGTACGTCTTGCAAGCGCTGAGCAGCAGCCAAGCCGGCGCGGCCCTCGAGGACTCCGGCTTGGGCGCCCCGCTGCTGAAAGCCTCGCTGCTCCTCTTGCTCCTCCTGGCCTGCTTGGCGCTGCGCTATCGCGCCCGGCTGCCCGGCCGCGCCCAGAGACCCGCCGGCCTGGCGGAGAGCCCCGAGGGTGCCTGGAGTGAACTTCGACGGCGGCGGCAGCAGCGCCGGCGCGCCTTGCTGGAGGAGTTTTACGAGCAGCAGTTGCGGCTCTCGCCCCACGTGCTGGGCCACAGCAAGGCGCACGTCAGCCTGGTGGTGGGCGAGCTGGTGCGCGCCGGCAAGGCCCCGGACCGGCTGGCGTCGCGCGGGGACTTCGTGCAAGTGGGCAGCGCCTACGAGCAGCACAAAGTGCGCAGCCCGGACTGCTTCGACGTGCTGGTGCCTCTGCGGTTGCCGCCCCGCCTGGAGCTGCGGGTGCAGCCCCGTCGGGGGACCGAGGCGGGCCTGCTCGGAGCCTTCGTGTGCGCCCTCCAAGTGGTGGCCGGTTGCGCGCGCGACGAGGCGGGCGGCGGCCCCTCTCCGCGCGCGGCGGGGGCGCTGAGCGAGGCGCTGTGCGTGGAGCTGCCGTCGGCGCAGGGCGGCGGGCGCCACCTGTCGTCGGCGCTGGTGCTGCGCTGGTTCCAGGGCCACGTGCAGCGGTGCCTGGGGGCCGTGCGCTCTCGCCTCCAGGAGCGCTGCCGGGTCAGCTTGGCCGTCGGGCCCGGGCGCCCGCTCACCTTGCATATCGCGCCTCGCTCCGACTACGTCTGTTGCCACCTTTCCATGGCCGTGCGCCTCACGCCGGCCATCCCTTTCGGCGAGGCGCTCTACCTCACCCCTTTGCCGTCGGCCCAGCCGCCGGCTCCCGGGAAGCTGGGAGCCTTCTGGACGCTCAACGTCTCCAAACCGGAGCAGAAGCTGCTGGGCTTCTTCAAGGAGCAAGCTCCTGCTGACTCCTGCCACCTCAAGTGCCTGCAGATCCTCAAGGGGCTGAGGGACCTGGGGGGACGCTCTCTGGAGCAGCCTCTGGGCGCTCAGTGGAACCGGATCCTTTCTTCCTACGTCCTCAAGACGGCGCTTTTGTGGCTCCTCCTGCGGGGTCCCTTGCAAGCTTGGGAGGACCAGTTCCTGGTGGAGAGGCTGGAGAACCTCTTCCTGTTCCTTGTGGAAAGCCTGCAGAGGCGTGAGCTGTTGCACCTCTTCTTGGGGAACCCCAAACTCCCTGAAGCCCTAAGCCTGCCCAAAATCCTCAAGGAAGCCGCTCCGGTCAACCTGCTGGCGGACTTTGATGGCCCTACCTTGGACAAGGTGGCGGGCCAGCTCTTAAACACTTGGAAGCAGGCGCCCAAGATGATCAGGATGTACAGTGGCCACAGATACAGGAGAAAACATCCTGCCTGAGAACAGAGCAGAGGACTCTCAGTTTAAGGGAGCACCATTTGGGCTGTGCATGCCTTTCCTCAATCTGTGCCCTTCATAATATTAATTGCAGAGTTGGAAGGCATTGTAGAGGTCCTCTAGTCCAACCCCTGTTCAAAGCAGGATTTGAAGTGTGAGAATACATCTATAGAGAGATCACCACCAGCCTTCTGCTTAAACACCAGCAAAGAAGAGACCCACTATCTCCCTAATGGCCCAGCCACTCTTACCATTAGGATGTCCTAAAGTTTAGCTGAAATCTTCCATTTCCATCCTTTAGGTTCTAGTTGTTCCTTCTGAAGCTTCAGAGAACAAGTTTTCTGTGTCTTCTTAGTGAGAGCCCTTCAGATATTTGAAGACCATTATCCTGTCTCTCGTTATTCTCTTCTCCAGCTGTTGGGCTTGTTTTCAGACTTGTAACTATCCTCTGAACCAGAGCCTCCATGTGTTGCTGAACTACAACTCCCATTATCCCTGGCCTATTGGCCATGCTTGCTGAAGCTGATGGGAGTTGTAGTTCAGCAACAACCAGAGGACCAGAAGTCCCCCACACCTGTGTTGCCTTAAATGCATGATCACACTTAAGATATATTGTTAAACCTCTTCACATCTTTGAATGACGGTTTCTTGGAATCACAGGTGAGAAGAGCCCAGTTGGGATCAGATACTGCTTATCTGTTTCCCATGGGCATCTTGTTGGCCACAGTGAAAGCAGGATGCTGAAGTAGATCGATCATCAGGGCTCTTCTTATGTATGAACAGGAATCTGCTATTGACATCAACAGCAGCCTCTGTTCCATATTCAGTAACAACTTTTGGGGAAGAGAGTTTTGTCAGAACTTCCCTCCCCCTTACAGTTCTGATCCTCTCCAGTTGCTATTTTTAAATATATAAAACACATGTTTACTGTAATTTTGCATTTGATGTAATGTGTAGTTTGGCCCATAGGTACTTTCCTTTGGAATGTGGTTAAGCCATCACAATGGGTCTGTCCTACTCTCATGTTTTCCACATGGTTTTTGCTGTCTTTTGAACGCACCACTTACCAGATGCAGAGCATAACAGAGCACATGGTCTCCTGATTGTGCTTACCTCTGATATCTTAATGCATGCCGGTGCATTTGGGAGCAAACGGTCTACAGTGACAACATAGAGTGTGGGTGCTGTTTTAAAAAACAACATCAAAAACAAGTGCAAAAGTTCCCCTTATATACACAGGTCCGCACTACTGCTGGGTTATTTTATGGGCTTCAAATTAAATAGAATAGTTCTGATATTGCTAATCAAGTAGTGGGACAATTTTGGGGAAATACTGTGCCTTGCACCCTGAGAGTAAACACAGGTTTGTCTCCAACCAAGTTCTGCTCAGAGAATTGAAATGAGTAGACCTACAAATTTATCATTCTCATTCACTTCAATTGTTGTGCTCATAATATGACTGAAGTCTGACATAACTCTGATTTTTGGGGGAAGTGAGTCTGGTCCATTTCCTCTGGATGTATCAAGGTACAGAATTTCTTCCTAATAACCACTTGCAAGCCTTCTTCACCCAACATTTCTTATTACAAGCTGTTGTGGTGAGGTGGGTTCAGCTATTGGACATTTGTACCAGCAAGTTGGAATATATGTTGTGCTTGAAGAGGGAACCCGTGTATGGAAGTATCGTGCAGCAGCTCCTCTGGGCAGCTTCCCTTTCAGGCAGATACAGGGAACCTGTGCCCCCCGAGAAATCACTGAACTACAACTCCTATCAGCCTCAGCCAGCATGCCCATTGGTCAGGGAGGATGGGCATGTTCCTGGAGTCCAGGAACAACTAGAAAACCACAGGTTGTTTATCCCTGCTCTAAGGCATTACTGTGGAAGAATTTGGCAGTGTGTGCACTATATCTTGAAAGAACGTGTCCTCAAAGAATTCTGGGCTCTGTTAAGGGTTTGTTAAGCGTTGCTGGGAATTGTAACCATGTGAAGTGCTCATAACTCTTTTGAAGGGAGTGCATGTGCTTCAAATGTGCTTCAAAAGTTTATACACAGCCAACAGAGCCAGAGTTGTGTATGATATCCAGAACTGCTCTTGGCCTTGACTCGGAATGTGCTTATAGCTACAAGAGCCCTTTATCTCTAGTGTGGGTGAGGATTTTTACATGCCACTGCGCTCAAACTATTTGAAGTGATGTGGTATGCAAACTCACGGTCTGCACTTATCTGATCGGCTCATGTGACCCACGATCACATTTCCCCCCCTGCCCAGCTGGAAACAAAATTAGGTGTCCTCTGTCGTGTGATTTGGCATTGAGCCTGAGGACCTGAACGATTTTCCTAACGTCTCACATAATGTGGGTCAATCTTGAACAAAGATGGGATGCCGTGCTGGATGGTGATGGTCAGGGAGATGTTGGTGATGGGATGTGAAATGGTGACATTTTCCCAAGAGGGCATGAGAGATCTAGCTGTGATCCAAAGAGAAGTCTCATTTTGGGGACTTAAATACAAATATGCATTCAGAGACCAAAAATATTAGCACTTTATTTTCATAAAGGCCTCTTATTTTTATTCTTGCAGTGTGTATAGGCTGTGTTAAACATTTTTTTCTCTGAAGTACCTGAGCAATACTGAGCAAAGAATTGGGAAAAATAAACAAGTACCCAGATTTTCAATAAGCTGCCTTTAAAAAGGCAGACCCAGAACACTTACGGTACCTTAAGAGGTGCTGTCAAGCCTAAATCAGTATTTTGCCTTAACCAGCAGCCTTGTTGAAAGCTACTCTCCGGTGTGTGATTTAGAAGAATCCAGCTCGGGTGGCTGTATAAACCCTCTTGTTGCTTCTGACAACAAATTTTATCTGTTGACTGTTCCAGTGAATCGCTTGGTGCTGGGCCAGGCTAAAGTCTTCCCAGATTAAAATCAACAGGAGCGCAGCTTTTAACCCCTTAGTGCACAAAAGCACAGCATACCAAAGACTTGAGGACCTCGAGCTATGCTCTCCTGTGCATGGCTCTTGAGAAGCAAGTCCCACTTAGTACGATTTCCTCCTGAGCGAATGAATGTACATAGGATCGGGGCCATTGTGGGCGGTGGGAGCAGACCCTTCTGCTCGGAACTGCTTGCAGTGCTTAGCCGCAAAAAGGAAATGAAACTGAAGGGGGTCTCTGTAAGGGCTCTGGCATCTGCCTGAAGGTGCTGACCCCAGCTGCTTCACATGGAACATTGTCCACATAAATATAGGTACAGGGATATTGACATGGTAGCAAATAATGTAATCAATCATAGCTGGCAGACTGGTCTGGTATCAGCACGGAAGTCAGTTTGCTTTCAGTGGTCAACCTGACACTGGGTTGGTTTCCCCCCACTACCGCTGATTCCAGCTGTTTTTGGACTACAATTCCCATCATCCCTGACCACTGCTCCTACTAGCTAGGGATGGTGCGAGTTGCCCAAAAACAGCTGAAGACAAAAGTTTGGGAAACACTGGGCTACATGGGCCTTTTCCGATTTTGGAGGTCCGGTGGAACGGCGCCTTACTTTCTGTTTCCCATGTGAGGTTGCAGAACGAGGCTTTGTCTCTCGTGCCTTTGTAATGCCAGTTTTGACACCTAAGTTACTCAGCAGCTTTCTTGACTGGTTTACATGTAACATTTTATTTTATTTTATTTTGGAGGTGTAGACACTTTGCATCCACTATTTGCTAATAATTAGTTTCCTTAGGCTTTTTGGCGTTTGGGGGAGCCTTTTCTAGACGGAGGGCCACATTCCTTTGTGGGCAACCTTCTGGGGGCCACATGCCAATGGTGTGCAGAGCCAAAGGCCCAAAATGGGCAAAGTGATGAATGAGGCTTTGTTATAATAGGCTGCATTCCAGCCAAGCGAACAACCTCTGTTTCTACACACACACACACACACACACACACACACACACACACACACACCACTCTCAAGCCTTATAGGCAAACAAGAGGTATTACTAGAGTTCAAGGATGCACACTGAGGAGCATGTAGATCTGGGCTGGTGATATATGCTGTCTGGGGGAGAGTGCATGGGTTCTGGAGTGCCAAAGGGTCATATAGAACGGCCTGGAGGATCACATTTGAGGTTTGGAGGTTCTATACTCCTTTGCATAGAATGGAAGGTTGCAACAGCAAGAATGCTGCTATCGCTGTTAACAGAAAAGTGCGGTTGGCTTTGGAAATGAAGGGAGATGGTTGGAAGACATAGTTGGAGCAGTAGCCAGGAAAATTGAAATCAAATGTTTGTGGAGGTTGGAGAAGGGACTGGGAAGGAGGTATAAATGAAAGCATTACCGGGGGGGGGGGGGGAGGAGGTTTGAGCATGTGGCAAATTAGTTCCTAAGTCATCAACAATATTCAGTTGGCTGATACTGGGGGCAGGTACTTACTGGGACTCTCTTAATGGGAAGGCCTGGCAAACCCCCTTCCTGCTCTGAGACAAGTGTTGTGGCAGGAAAGCTCTGACGGTAGAACACGAGACTCTTAATCTCAGGGTTGTGGGTTCAAGCCCCACGTTAGACCAAAAAAATTCCTGCATTGCAGGGGGTTGGACTAGATGACTTCGTGGTCCCTTCCAACTCAATTCTATGATATTCTTGGCACTTTATAATTGAATTTTGTTGTTGGGGCAGAGATGGTTGTTTTGTTTTGCTGGTGTAAGCAAATGGCTTTGCTCCATCATGTCCAACTTGGGTGTATATGAGGCTGTAATGCTCATTTAAGGTGGGGTGGGGAGCTTCCGGCCTAGGGGGCAAATGCCCCCCCCCGCCTCTCTGTCTGGCCTTGGGTCTCACTCTGCTCCCCAGCCACACGCCTCAAGGAACCTTGCTTTACACCCTTCTTGGAATTTGTCCTTCAGCTCTGATTCTGCCTCTCAGTTGCGTTAGCTTGGTGAGCTGTGGTTCCTGCATTTCAGGGGGTTGGACTAGATGACCATTGGGTCCCTTCCAACCCGATGGTTCTGTAATTCTGTGGATGGAAGATAGAGAGGTGTGTGCATTGAAACTGGCCTATTGTGCAAAGGAGAAACTTGTTTTCATTGCCCCACCCACTTTTGCCTCTGGCCCTACCCATCGCTTGCATGCGGCCCCTAGAAGGCCGCCCAGAAGGATATGCAGCCCCTGGGCTGAAAAAGCTTGGATTAATGTAAAGAAGGGTTCCAGGAGACCAGTGCCCAGGCGGAGGGAACCTGAATGTGAATACTTGGATTTAATTTTCCGAAGGAGATGCTTGTTATGTTGGACCAGAGTGATCATTTTAAGATGTGCTTGACCACACACCAAAATGTGTACGTGTGTACCTTGCACACATTCATTTTCCCGCTGTTGTTTTTGCATGCCTTACTCTCCAGCCGTTCAGTGTGAGTCATCTCTCCATCTCTGCAGAAATTCATCATTAGGAGTTGTTATGGGTGGGTTGAGAAAGCTGAAGGATGGAGGGCTTGTTTGTCAAATAGTCTCGTAGTCTAATGAGAGACTAAATTGAAGAGCCAGGCAAAGAAGCACATCATTTTGGACACTGCTGTGTGGCTTCTTTCTTCTTTTTTTACCCCTCCACCCTGCACACCATATTTTGGAAGCACTAGAATCTAAGCCCAGGCTCTTGTTTCTCAACCATCGAGGGATACAAATGCATTTAACTGTACACACTTAACCTGGAAGTAAGCACCACTGAACATGGCAGGACATCTGAGTGAAACATACATAGAATTCCATTATAAGATAGTCTTGCAAGTGACCACCTATGTAAACATTTACAAAGGTTAGCTACCCGGTCCACTTTGTGCCACAGATGGTTAACATAGGCACTAGTAACTTTTGCATACTGATTTCCAAAATTGATTTCATATTTGCAGTATTATAAGTACATCTTGCAGGCATGGCTGGTGCTGGTTATAATTTTCTCAGTCATAGAATCACTCAGTCTGGACTCCAGAAGTGTTCCTATACCTCTAGAGTTGTGTAGAAGTAACAAACTGGCTCTAGTGAAGTTTCCCAAAATCATAATCTTTGGTAAGCAACTCCGAAGGTGGGAGACATGGAGCTGATACAGTACCTCTCCCCATTCATGTAGTGAAATAGCTGAAATGAGAACTTGCTTTAAGTCTCTCGCCCCCCCCCCCCCGCCCTGCAAGAAGAAACCATTCCTCTTTCAGGTTTTGCATCTTGTTGCAAAATAATGCAAACAAAACCTTAACTTTACAACTGACAATTGTGGTACGATAATGGCTATTAGTTATCTATCAGACCAAGTGTGTTTTGATGCTTATTGGAAGATGCAAAAGCACAGTGTTATTTAATTGTTTAAAATTTGGAGGAGTGAAAAGTGGTGTTAAGATGTTAATTAAGTTTTTTAATGTCATGATTTTTTCTTGTTTATGAAGTTGCTAATAATAATAATAATAATAATAATAATAATGTGCTCACTTTTTCCAATAAAAAGCTGATTGTATTTGAATCTTGCCATTAACAATAAACAGCTGTTTGAAGCCTCCTGGGCTTGATTCTTTGCGTGCCAAAAGATGACTTGCACACAATGGTGAACGTGCTGCAACAGGAAGTTTTCTCACAGAGGGCCGTTGAACAGGAGTGGCATGAAAGTCTAATCACTTCAAGAAAGCTTCTGCAGGTGGAGCACACAGCAGATTGTGCCTCACTGCTTTTTCTTATTCTCCGGTCAAAACAGTTTCCCACCAACCAACTTTGGGTGTCAGAGGTAGGTGTGTTGCCAGGCACCTAAGGGAATCTGGACAGAGGGCCATGACACCTTTGCATAAATATATCAAGTGCTCCCTAGACTGGTTGCCAAGTAAGAAAGGAGGCAGGTAGTTGGCTGAGAGTAGACAGCTTGGTACAGTGCCCAACTTTCCCTAACAGACCAGCCTCCACTGGGATAGGGATCTGCTAGCAACTCTCAGCACCCTGAACTACAGTTCCCAAGATTCTTTGGGGAAATTCATGTGGCCAGAGATAAAGTAGAGCTATTGAGTTAATGGGTCTGAAGTCAACGTAAAAATGCTTTTTATTCCCATAGTTCCAAATAATAAAAGGGGTGTGTGTGTGGATTCCTTATGCATGTAATAATGGTAATCAAAGCACCTTCATTTTGTTCTCATATATTTATATAAAAACAATCCCCCCCCTTGATGCATCTATTTTATCAAAAGCTTAGAGTGACTGGCATATTGTTTGTTATGACTAATTGTCTTGACAAGAATAAATTGGACTGGATATTTTTGTTAGAGCCAAAGACATTCCCTCAACAGTTACCAGATGGAAGCACAACACAACATATAAATGGGCTGGTACGAGGATGTCACCAGCTTCAATCAACACAGCATTTTTGGCAACAAGGGCTTGCCTTTTTTATTTTTTTTTTTTATTTTTTTTTTTTGTTTTAATTAAATATTTTATTAAGGATTTTCTTGTTTTACAGAAGTAAGTGTACTGCCTCGTATATATATTTTTTTCATGTAACATTTTTACAAATCCATTTCATTTGTTGAGGCATTAGGGGAGAAGAAAAAAAGGAAAAAGAAAGGGGGGTGGAGAGAGGGAAGATGGATGGGGGTGGGGTCGGGTGGCGGTGTTTCTATTATGTTTAATGTATGTAGAGTTTGGTGTCAGCGTTGCTTGTGTTGTTCACTTGTGTTCCTTTGGTGGTGAGAGAGGTTGGGGTTGGCCTAGGGTGTGATTGTCTGCTTGTGATTGGCTGTGGTGATCTTTGTTTTCGTGTGTGAGTGAGGTGGGTGGGTGTTTTGGATCAGGTTAGCCATATTGATTTGTATGCTGTTGGTGGATTATTGTCATTGTCCTGTTGGGCTGTGTATGTGATACAGGGGAGCCATACCAGGGTGAAGACGTCTTCTTCTGTTTGTCCCCGTGTCAGTTTCAGTTTATTAGTTAATTTTTCTAGTAGGGCTGTTTCCCATACTATTTGGTACCATTGGTCCATGTTTACTCCTGACAGGTCTCTCCAGTGTCTGGTTATGGTGTTTCTGGCTGCTGAAAGTAGGTGGGTTATGAGTTCTTTGTGGTGTAAATGGGCATTGTTGTCTTGGAAGATGTTTAGTAGGGCCAATTCTGGGGTGATGTCTATTACTTGCTTAGTTATTTTACATATTTCTTGTATGGCTGTTGTCCAGAATAGTTGGATTTTGGGACACTCCCACCACATGTGGAGGTATGTGCCTGTGGAGGTGCACCCTCTCCAGCATTTTGGTGAGGTTCCTGGGTGTATTAGCGCTAGTTTCCTTGGTGTTAGGTACCACCTGTAGGTGAGTTTCAGTGTGAGTTCTTTTCTTTTCGTTGATATGGATTTAAAGGGGGTTTAGACCACATTCTGGTCCATTGAGTGGGGTTAATCTCATAGCCTATGTCATTCTCCCATTGGTTTTTGATTGCATCTAGGGGATTTGCGGGATTTTGGAGTAGTATTTTGTATATTGCGGATACCGTCCCTTTACCGTTTCCTTTTGTTGTTAGGAGGAGGTTTTCGAAGGTTGTCAGGGGCCTAGTTGCTGCTGATTTTACTGTTGGGTTGTTTAAGAGGGCATGTAGTTGGTGTTGTGTTAACCAGGGCATTTGGGTGTCTTCTAGTTTGTCTTGTATTTCTTGTGTTGACAAGGGTTTGTTATTTTTATAAAAGTCTATTAGGCGATATAAGCCTTTGGTTTGCCAGGTTTTTATCTGGAGGTTTTGTGCTGCATGGTGGAATAATGGGTGAGTACGCCAGAGGATTAGTGGGGATGGGGTTGGGGATAGTTTGCCTATTTGTGTTTTCCATGCTTTGAGCATGGTCTGTGTGTACCTGTTAAGTGTTGTGGGAATTTTCTTTAGTTTGTTTGGGAGGAATGGGTATGTTGTGGTGCAGGTATTTTCAATTGTGTCCCTCTCTAGGTGTACCCATTGTTTTGTCTCATCTTCTAGTATATATGGGATTATATGGCGTATTTGGTTGGCATTGTAATATGCTTCTATGTTGGGGATTCCCCATCCTCCTTCTGAGGTGGGGAGGTGCAGGTATTTGAGGCTTATTCTTGGTTTTTATGTGAGAAGATGAAAGAGTGTAGTTTTCTCTGCCAACTGCGAAGTTGGGTTGAGGGATCAGATTGGGAGGGTTTGGAATAGGTAGGTTAGTTTTGGGAGTGTGATCATTTTGATCATGGCTATTTTGTCTGAGAGAGTGAAATTCATGTTATTCCATCTCTTTAGGTCTTTGTTAATTTGTCGCCACAGGGGCTTGTAGTTGTGGAGGTACAATTTATTGAGGTTTCTGGTTATTTGTACCCCTAGGTATCTGAACTTGGTGTGGCAAAGTTTTATTTTGGTGACCTTCGTGAGTTCTTTTTGGGTGTGAGGAGGGGTGTTGAAGCACATAGCTTCTGACTTTGTAAAATTTACCTGTAGGCCCGACACCATTGCAAATGTGTTGAGTTCTCTGATTAGGGAGGTTGCTGTGCTTATGGGGTCTGGTGTTGTGACCATTAGGTCATCTGCAAAGAGCCCTAATTTATAGGTTCTG